GCTCAGGTTTATAACAACTAATGAAACCTCTTTGACAGCAACATTTGTAGGGAAAACCTGAGAAGGAATCTGCATGAAGATTTTGACATGGAAAGATTATATAACAAAAGTGAAAAGAGCCTGTGCTAGGTGACTTACTTACGACACGACATGACAAGGAACTACGAGCAAAGAAACATTCTGGAAACAGAATGTTGTCAATGGCGCAGTTCTTTGAATAAGCAACTATAGTGACATTTCAAATCCAAATTGCAAAAAGTTCAAAGATTCAGAACCTTGCAGCAAAAGTAATACACAGTCCCTAGACACCATCATACTTTCATGCTGACAAGACAACTTGATATAAACAGTCAATATAGAAGACAAGAGATTAATCTGCATGGCTAATCTGAACTTCGCCAACCCACCACAGAACTTTCGACCATAGGAACAACAAAAAATAAATGCACTACCAACAACTACTCAAACAATGGTCAACCTCAAGACCTTTTAAGTATTTAAAATTCATTAAACTCGTCAAATATCGCATTAAGAATAGAATATTTAGATCCCTTATTCATAAAAGATATAAATATCATCTATTTTTTGCTTAATACATATCATATTTTTTTACATTTGTCTAGTTTATGCGGTGTTAAAATCTTGCGATAGTATAACTTTAATGTTACTTAAATTTTAATATGTCACGTAAAATCATTGAATGGTTTTAGGATGCATTTCAGCTACGCGAAATCAATATTACAGCCAAAATAATTGCAAGCCATCATCGTCACGAGCATATGATAGAGTCGTAAATTTGACGTGAATTCAATTTAGTTAACCCAGAATGTCATAGTGCCATAATTGCAGTATTGATTTCCCAAATGTCACAAAGCCATTTGCTCCATGTGTCACGTTGTATCCCTGTTTGCCATGGAATATCGACACTAACGATTTGACTCATACGCCACAAAACATTCAATATAGCCTTTCATTGCACGTAAAATGCCTGTGAAAAAAGAAATATTCAATCGAACCCTAGACGTCACGTTTCTTCTTTATCCTCATATATAAAACAACCCTTTTCACTTTTCTTTACGTTTTTCCCCTATACGATAAGGCAACCTCAAATTTAATTCAGTTCTAATTGTCACGTTTTTTCCCAACACTATAATCAATATCACTTTTTATCTTTCTGTGTCGCGAAGCATTTAGTATAGCATTGTTTTCACGTTCTTTTCCTATATGTCATTTAGCAGTTATTTAGCCCTTTATATCAAGTTCCATTCCCATATATCACGAAGCTTTTGATACAGCCCTTTATGCCTCGTGGCGTAGCATCTCTTTTTTTATCACAGTATTATTGCCCCATTTCTGGTAATACATGTCCTACCTGCTTTCAGTATGTCATAAATAACAAATTTTAGCTCTTTTATATAAGGTTGTATCTATTGTCATGAAGCATCCAATGCAGCCCTTTATGTTACTTGTCGTGTAAGTTTCCTATCTATATCACATAGTATTCCTAAATTTCATAAAGCTGAACTAAAGGGGACTAAATATGAAGCTGAACTAAATGATAGGCGACATAAAGCCGCATAAAGCTGTATTGAATGCTGTGTGATACATAAAAAAAATTGTCCTATTAGACGGCTGAAAAAATGCTTCATTTCCTTTTATTTAATATTCTTTATGTTCAATGAAACCTTTTAGCAATTTAATGTCTTACTAACAATTTAAATATAAATGTGTCAATGACAAGAAGCCTTTAAAAATCGACATGCAGCTCTTCCAGTGTTTTCGCTCTGTAAATGCGTTTTATGTTGTTTTTTGGAGGGAACTAGAGTTGATAGTTCGTGATTTTCAGCAGGAGTATCATCCATGCTTTGAGTGCTATATAATGAAAGCCTTTCTTGGTTCTGCCTAAATTCGTAAAAGTTTCGAGGAAAAAAGATGTGTATATGAAAGTAAATTAAACATTGCAGGAAAAAAGTTGTAGATTCTGAGAAATGAATATTCTTTCTTCCCACTACTTTTTCTCCCTGCGACATTTTTTATCTTTAAATTATACTTTACGTTTTCACAGTTACTCGTCATCAAAAAAGCATTTTCTTTTAGAATTTCGACAAGATTAAAAACAGGGTCAAAAACTCAAAGCATTGGATAGCAATGAAAGTTACTGCCATTTTTATGTCATTTCTTTCTGGCTGTGTTGAACACCAATTTATTATTTTCTCTGACAAACAGGGGGCCATACGAATGGTTACGAACAATAACTCTCCATATATTCTCGTATATCTTTAAAGTTTCTCCACTTCATAATTTTATGAATTTTGAAGAAAAGAACGGAATGGAAATCAAATCATACATTCTCTACACATAATGCAAATTGGGTTAGAAAGGGGTGGCAGAAATGATACCCTCGATTCTAACCAAGAATTCTAATGAATTTGCCTCAAGCAAGCTGAAAATGCAGTTGGATCCGTCCAAAATTTTCTATGAGAAGGACTTAGGCATAGAAAAATGATCTTGAAAAATGATCCATTCTCAAAGAGTGGTTCTTATTAAAGCACAACCACTCACCACATTGTTTTCTGTTTGTGAACTTGTTTGTGAGCTGCATGGATAAATTTCATTCACAACTTTTGGAAACGTTGGGTGTAATTTAGACAGTTGTAGCCAGGGACATGGCCAGTAGGGGGTTTTGGGGAGTGTGACACCCCCAAATTCTCGATGAGGTGGTCGCTGAATTTTCAGATGGTCAACAAAATCTTTAATATGTGAGTAGATTTTTAACAACCTGTGTTGTTAATAAAGTAACAGTCTCGAAGGACGAATTATTAAAGAGCGAAGTCGATAGTGTAAAACTACTAAGTTTTACAGGGCAGATAAAGCTCATAAATCAGACTCCAGTTCCCAATAACGTTTTTAAAAAACCAAGATTCTTCAATAGCGATCGTATAATCAGCAGCAACCAACAACTACAAAATGACGACTTTATTCAACGAAAACTTCGACTCGACTGGACTTGCACTCAAAGAACATACGCTTTTAACAACATGAGTGACGCACACAAAACCCTAATGACACAAATTAAAGGCAAATGAACTAATAACAACTAAAAAGAGATGGCACGATGACAAACAAAATTACTGACACAAACATCGAAAGACATTCTCATTAACAATAACGAACCACAAACACGATGCACGACAGACAAAACTAGTTGTATAACATTACTCCCTCCTTCAAAGACAAGCCTCCTGGCTTGAATTATTCAGAGAGAGAAATGCAAATAGAACAACAAACAAAACAAGAAATTTAAAATACAGTTAGTTCACAATACAGCTACTTCATGTAATATCTCTAAGCGGTTCTCCGTAGTCTTTTTTCAAATGTCCGTGTTTCCAATCAAGTTTGTGTTTCTCTTGGAGGGATTCCCTTTTATTAGCCATTTGTTGTCTTTCATGACAAATCTCTTTTCCAAGCGAAGAAACGTGCTCGTAAGATTCCATCTGATTCTGGCCTTGCGTTTCATAAGAATGATTAGGCACTGATGGAACAACATCAAACTGGTAGGGCATTGTCCAATCCTTGAGTTCTCGATTTAATTCCCTCAAGTCCCTCATTTTGGCTTCAAGTCCATCCAGTGCGTTCTGAAAATTTGATACATACTGCGGGATCTCAAACTTGATACTGTCTTTGACGTGACTAGCCTGGGCATATCGCCTGTCCCAGCAGTATTTTGAAACGTGGCCTATTCGTAAGCAGCTGTAACAAATAGGCCGTCCGTCCTCCCCTCTGTATACGTTTGTGCGGTTGGCGAAGGGGTTTCTTGCTTTTTCTTCAGCCAGCCTTATCTTTTCAGCCATATAAGCGATTACTTCTGTGACGATCTCTAATAAAATATCTTTCGATTGCTCCAACGACATCATTTTTTTCAGCTCCCAATGAAGGTCGCGAGTTGTCACGTCGTGGTCACCAATGTAAAACTACTAAGTTTTACAGGGCAGATAAAGCTCATAAATCAGACTCCAGTTCCCAATAACGTTTTTAAAAAACCAAGATTCTTCAATAGCGATCGTATAATCAGCAGCAACCAACAACTACAAAATGACGACTTTATTCAACGAAAACTTCGACTCGACTGGACTTGCACTCAAAGAACATACGCTTTTAACAACATGAGTGACGCACACAAAACCCTAATGACACAAATTAAAGGCAAATGAACTAATAACAACTAAAAAGAGATGGCACGATGACAAACAAAATTACTGACACAAACATCGAAAGACATTCTCATTAACAATAACGAACCACAAACACGATGCACGACAGACAAAACTAGTTGTATAACAATAGTAAGAGACGTACGTCGTGTTTTTATCTTATTTCGAACCAACTTACTATTTCTAAATAAACACAGCGGTATATCCAAGCAGCGAAACGTAGCATGAAAAACACAGCGGGAACAAAACAAAAGCTTAGATGTTATCACTACAGAATCGTCTATCGGCAATCAAAACAGCACATTCATTTGTCATCAAGGCTTCGACACTGGCTGTAGAACATTTCGCTTTTTTAATAGATAAACATTTTTATATGAAAACAAGAAATGAATGGGAGATAAGAAGTTATGAGAGAATCATTGGGATTATGGTAGTAGCAGTTGTGAGGTATCATAAAGCAGTTTTGATGCAGATTTTGAAGAGAGTTTTCTGTACCTTCATATTCTGCTGGAGATAAACCTGTTGCTAGGTACCAACACTTCCTTCATTTAAATAGCAACTTGAGTCTGAGTCCTTATAAATATAGCTTAATGCAATTTTCCTTGAAAGAGATGATCCCTCTTTTACCAAGGTGACATCAGCAAAGATGGAAAACCTCCCCTCCCCTCCTAGCCTGTGCTCCAGACCCTTAACCTGAAGGAAGAGGTCCTCTTCCTTCAGGTTAAGGGTCTGGAGCACAGGCTACTCCCCTCCCGTCTCAAAGTGTTACATTCCATCACCGCGCGGACCCTATCACGAAGACGAGGCTTTTTGGCCTAAATGTGAATCCTGATCGAAAGGTATGCTTGCTAGTGAAGTCCTCCAGAGAACGAATCGAAGGGCTGAGAACTCAATATTGCCATGAACAACCAAGCTTCTGTAGAAGAGGGTACCAAAAAGAAATCTAGTTTTTTGCAGCCTGATATCCCGGTTATCCTGACAACGACAGCCATTGTCGTGGTTGGGCTGGCTGTTCTTCTACCTTTATGGTGGAAATATGACCCAATTGTGGAGTTTGTATCCAAATTTCACTCCCTCGCAGAAGACGCAAAAGAAACTATATTTACAAAGAAAGAACTATCAAGATTTAGTGCTAGGAATACCAAGGAAAAGTTATACCTTGCCATCCTAGGGAAAGTTTTCGATGTTAGTGCTGGGAAACAACATTATGGGAAGGAGGGCTCTTATTCGTTTTTCACGGGTAAATATCAAAATTTAACTATTATCGTAATAGTATTGTACTTGTAGTCAATACAATTTTTCTACTTGTATTGAAGTATTTACTTTAGTAGTCTACAGTGGCAACTGGGAGCAGGATAATATGGTATTATTTTCAGCTTGCTCTGAAATTGAGACAGAAAAACCATTCAAAAGCAATACAATATCATGCAAATTTATTCTTAAAATGGAATGAAATAGTGGAAACATAACATGAAGCAGACAAACATAATATGCTATGTTTTTCCTACTTAATACCATTAAATTAAGCAGTATTAAAAACTGCTTAATTGTTAAATTTCACTGATATGTTAAGCTTCTTTTTAGAAGGCAATCAGTATATTGGTAGATAGATAAACTTATTCAGTTGAATTTATTTTAGAAATGTGAACAATTTTGAACTGTACAAAATTTGAAAATGGTTTTGAAAAATGCAAACATTTTTCAGCATGCTAAAAACATTTCTTAAAGTATAAAACATCAGAATAAGGATCCCAGTTGTGGATAAAAATAGGCTAATCAGGAAAAATGCAAGCCCGTGACTGGTATAGTTGTCCAGTCAGTACTGCATGCCAAAATCATCCCTGGCATTTTCATCATTAGTATGGCATATTCCATAAGGGCTCGTAAAGAAATGGCAACACCAAAGAGGTTAACAATAACTGATCTGATAAAGTTGCTTTGAGAAAGATTTCCTGTGGCTGATGCAGAGATCTATTCTGCCAAGCATTTTTACAACTTCTAGTATTGGAGTGACAATGGTGAATATGTAGTACCATAAATGAATTTGTTGGCAAGATTTCTATTACACAAAGCAGGCAAGTCACCGAAGCTTCTCTGTCAAAATATATTGGCATTAAGAGGGAAGAATTCCGAACCTTTGACTCTTGATTGAACTTTTTACTTGCATTTCTGGGTTGAATTCAACTGTCGAAAGAGCATTAACTTAGCTTAACTTATCTGATGAGTGACTGGCGACTTAGCACTGTCCACTTTACTATGAAAGATTTGATGATTATCAAATAAATTGACCTACTATGGAGGCCTTTGGAGAGGAAAGAGGTTCAACACCGTGCTGTTAAAGTATACTTGGAGAGGAGAAGGAAAATTTGCCTTGATCAGGTTGATGACCCTAATTTTGATACAATAACCAGCAAGCCTTTTGGCAAAAGGCCTGCCCAAGAAATAAAGCTTGTGTGCTGATCAACATGCTGAATACTTGTCAGACGATTGAGCAAAGCTATGTATAGTCCAAATCCTATTGTAAATTCGTTCTCACTGTGTGTTAATTGTATTCTTAGCAGCTTATCTAGGGAAAAATTACCGTTTCTTTTCAAAAATTGATGTCTCCAGCACATTTGCGTTCCCATTTCTTAATGACATCATGGTGACATCATAACAATGTTTTTTCACGAAAACTTCCTAAATTGACTCTAATTTGGCCAATAACATGCAGCTTGGGGTGAAAATATATGCAGAGGCACGTCCCAATTTATTATATCATTGAATGGTGATGACCTCATGGCGTTTCTGATAAATCGTAGAATTCTTAGAAAGCTATATATAATCCCTAAAAGTTAATATATGTTGAAAATACTTACTGAATAATTCCTCTGAATGAATGAATGAATGAATGAATGAATGAATGAATGAATGAATGAATGAATGAATGAATGAATGAATGAATGAATGAATGAATGAATGAATGAATGAATGAATATGAGCAATGATTCATTGAATAAATCATGCCCGGATGCTTAATCATTCCCTCACAACAATGACATCTTCTTTTCAAGATTTGTGACCTTGTTTTCGAAATGTGCTTTGTTGATAGATAGAGTCCTTGTAAATGCCACTTGGTTCTCGGCATTTTTAGACTTATTTTGGAATGAGATGCAAAACAAGCTCAAAGCCACAAACATTACTCACGAAATGCAACATTTGCCAAATTGATATTAGAAATGAAAAGTTAGTGCAAAATCCAAGTGGATTGCATTCACCTGCTTACCAGAACTTACAGAATAATGTGGATGCACTGAAGGTGAATAAAAGTTGCAGCATTTAAAAGATTAGAAAAAGAATCTGAAAGAGATTTCATCAAGGGCAGTGCAGAAAAGTAAAAGACATAGTGAAGATAACCAGCATACTATCCGCAGACAAAACCAACTTGTGCTCAAACTGCACACATATTTGAATAAGAAGGGTGTCATTTCTGGAGAAAAAGAAGGGGGAGTTCTCGAAAACATTGTAGCAAATGCTTTTCTGCCTAAAGTTTATCAAGAAAAGCTACTGAAATGTGAAAAATTGGCTAAGATTTTAACAAAGGCGTTTCTTGAAGAAAAACTTGCAGCAAATCCAAAAAGGAGTATCTGAGCACCTTAACAGCGAGCTTCCATAAAAACGTCTACAGCTGCAAACAAAGTTTTCAAGATTACAAAGGAACAAAAGAATCAGATCGTTAAGGAACATAAAGATCTGTTGAGCAGAATGGCAATAACTGCCAGAAGCCAAAGGCAAATTGATATGAAGGAGCTTCCACCAACCTATTCTGCCCACCGTGAGCACCTAAGAAGAGCCCATTATGCTGCTGCTGTATGAAATAATTCCCATCGTGAGTCAAACTTTGCCAAATTAAGGCCAATAGTACCAAAGGAAATATTGGAGTTTGTCAAATGTGGTTGCAAAGATACACCAATTTAACTTACGTTTGCAAAGAATACAGATCTCTTTTTGGAAATTTCTTAAAACTTAATTGTACGAACTTTTTTAAGCTCAGATTTAGTTTTATCATCATAATTTCATGTTGTTTGTGCTTGTATTTGAGATTTTATGGAGAAATGAAGTTTGAAAATTTGTAAGGGATTTAACCCCAAAAATCATTCTGGGTGAAACTTTACCACCCCAATCGCCAATCAGGGCCAAGCAATATTATAAGCAATAACATAATGAAATCTTCCAAGCAGACTAAAATTCTTCCTCTCAATCCGAATCTGTGTTCAAAAATTTTGTGCAAAAGAATTGGAAGAATTTTTCAAAATGAGGCTGTAAGTTGAATTGGTGTATAAGAGATTATCTTGCACAGAAATGTGCCATAGCGTTGAATGCGAGAATACAGATTTTAGCACTAAAATGCAGTATCAAGATGACGAGGAAGACGAAATAGACGATCAAACTAGTGACTGCTGAGTTCTTGTTCTCAATTCGTAATTGTTATAGTTTGTTTGCCATTCAGAGTTCATAATTGTTTTTTTACTTTATTATTTATCTGACGTCACTGTGACGTCACATTACCACAGAAAATCGAAATTGTTCAATGTGAAATCTTCATAATGTATATTATATCACTTTAACAGCTTGGATTGCATGATAGTTCTTCAAGAAATTATTTGATTACTGTTGTGGAGAAAGCTATAATGAATGAAGTCACGCCTTATACCAAGATAAAATAAGGAACTATCTTGCTAATACCTATGACGTCATGTTGACGTCATTAAGAATTTGACCTGGAGACATTGATTTTTTAATTCTACGATAAAGATTGAGTCAGACTGTTGTGAATAGAGGACCCGGACTTAAATCGAATGTTTAATTTTAGAATATTATTTTTTCTTAATAAAATTTCTGTGATGAATTCGTGTTAGGATCAAAATAACAGAAGTTTCTTTTGTCGGTGCCTGTATCAGTTGAAAGACGAAAGTTATATGATACAAAGCCTAAATTCCCACGGAATGCGGTAACATCATTTTTATTGATAATACTGCTTTTCTGTGCGATTTAAACCAGTGCGATGTTATGAATCGTGCGCCTCAATGAAAAATTCTGCTATGAGGCGCGTGATCAACCAGGCACCCAAAAGCAAGTTTAATCAATATTTTGTACACAACCTATACAACGGACTTTCAAATCATTGGGTCAGCGAGCTTGAAAGGATTTCTTGACTGATGCTCTTTACATCTAGTTTATAAATTTTATCAATCAAATTATCCATCTAGAGGCATGGCTAGTAATAGTATATATAGCTCCATTTGACAAGTCCACAAATTTAATTAACAGGCAATGTATTTCTCGAGGCAAAGGCTCTTTTATTAATTTCATTTTACTTTCCTTGTATTTTGACAGGTATTGATGGTACAAAAGCATTTGTAACTGGGGATTTTAATAAGAATGGCCTTGTTGACAACATAGATGGTTTGTCAGATGAGGAATGTTTATCGATATCAGACTGGGAGAAGTTTTTTAGCAATGAGTACACTTATATTGGAAAAGTTGTTGGCACTTTTTATGATTCAAATGGTGACGAAACCAGTGTTTTGAAAGAATTCGATTCAAAGGTAAAGAAAGGACTTAGAGAAAAAGAGAAAGATAAGGCAGATAAAACCAGGTTTCCTGAGTGCAATTCAAGGTGGACCAAGGAAGAAGGCACAACAGTTTGGTGTACAGATGAAAGGTGATTTATTGTTCTTCAAAGTTTCAGAATGTTTCTTATTGATATCAAGATAAAACAAAGAGCTAGAATAGTTTAACTACAACCCCTCAATCTCCCTCCCATTTTGTAGTCTTTTATTTGGTGGAAAAGAATCCAAAGCAAGACTATCATTGACAGGGCTAGGCCTTTATGAGGCAAATGAGCTGTGGCTTCTGTTCATTGGCAAACTCGAACCAATTTCGTTTTTCTTTTGTTAGCTTTTTCCAGAGTCGAAGTGACAGTAGGGAGACAAGAGTTTTATTTTTGTACCAAATATATATACGAGACCAACAGTTCATTCATCTCATGAAGGCTTGCGCTATTCAATGATAGTAAATCAGCCTAAAATAACAAGCCATTATTACTGTAATACTGAATCATTTTGTTGATCTGTTATTGATCTTGTAAAAACTTTTATTTTAATCAACTCTTGAAAAACGTCTTTGGAAAAAGCTGTTTCTGTGATATCAATTTTTGATAAGACTTCATTTAAGTTACTTCTTTCTAATTTTCTATTCCATAGTGGTGGCATTAAACGAGATTGGATTGGAGTACCAAGGATGTTTTTCAAGCCAGGCCAAACTGACTATAGATGTGCTTGTGTTAATGAAAAGGATGCTAGGGACACAAGACTGAAGCCTTATGTCGGATGTGGCATTTCTGAGGTATCATGTAAAGTTAACTCTTGAAGCACATTCCTTCATCGATTCAGCCATCGTAGAAGAAACAAAAGGTGACAACATTGGTTTGATAGCTGCAAGAAGGCATCAATGCTAACTTGTAATTTCAGTTTTGCTTGAAGGCTTCAACATATTCAACTTATAATTCAAAATTTACATTGTTATTTCATTTTAAATTTTGCAGACTGGCGGATCTTTTTCAATTTTTGATATTTTAGCTGGTATTTAAAGAGAACACAGTGATGTACAAAATATTTAGGGGTTTCATTTAAAGCTCACTGTTTCTTAATCCCAATGATTTATTTTTCTTTTTTAAATATTACAAAATAAGTAACCAATAGCGAGCTTTGATGTGCCCATACACATGCAAGTTAAAAGTCAAGTCAAGCCAAGAAAGCGGAGTCAGGCGAGGACGGATTAAAATGACAGTGGGAATATGCGATGAAATGAAGCAAAACGGATACGGAGCTAACATAACCCTGTGTAATCCTCTGAACCTTCATTTCTCTCTTTGATCTTTCATATAAAAGATGTTGCAAGAAAAGAGCGTTTTTGCTTAAGTGGCCTTTTTTCTCATCCATATCTCGACATTATCGAATTGCTTCCCTCCCCCGACTCTTATTAACTTTCGCCAGAGCATACCGGAGAGCATAGCAAAAAACTGCATGTGCGAAGCATATCAACATGTGTGATAGCGCGTCGAAATTCAGTCACGCCTGCAAATCTTCAAGACAGAGAGGTGCAAGTCAGAATAATATAATATGTGATGTCACTGTGATATGGGAAAAAGAAAACGTTTTTGTCAATGTTTTTTTAGTTGAATTTCTCTTCCTTTATTTCGTTATTCAAATGCTGCATAAAATTGAGCTGAAATTGGTAAAATCTAGCCTGATAAACAACCCATTATCCTTTAGAATAATGGGCTGGTTATCAGGCTAGGTAAAATCAAAATTCCGTCATTTTTTACAAGGTATCTTAAATAGTCGTTTATATGCTGTTTTCTCCTGCAACTCTTTAGGACGATTCGATTATATTATTTGGGAAAAGAGAGTGACTTTGTTAGATTGCAAATTATCTGCCATATAGAATCAGCTTTAGTGGAGTCTTATTTTCCATCACCATAAATCTTTTTAACGAATGGGCTATAGAGATGTTGCTAGCTATTCAAAAGTCCTCTTTTTTAGAACATTTAGACACCTTTTCATGTACAAGTCTTTTACTTTGCCTACTTTCGATTTTCCACCAGATCGTTGGCTAATTGCACCCATCTTTAAAGGAGAACAGCTTTATGATTGTGTTAATTAAAAGCAAACCATGGTTATTTACAAATAGAGTGCTGTATTTGGTCAGGCTCCGACTATTTAAACGACCCGTTTTCATCTTTCAATTTGATCGTGTCCACTAGAGTATTAAACAGTACAAGTGGTTAACAAATGCATGGCAGTAGTCAGTTGCTTATATTTTATCAATCAGCCTCAAAAAGCTCACAACAATTTTTGTTATTCGTTTTATTCCGATTCTGAAATAAAGCAGTGCTAAAAAGTTTCGGAGCAAAGCGATTCTGAAGTAAAGCAGTGCTAAGTAGTTTCGGAGTAAAATGATTCTGGAATAAAGCAGTGCCAATCTCAAGCTAACTCTTCTTGGTATTTCTTAGCAGTAAAAAGCCATGTTGCCGATGTTAAATTCGTGTTGGCACTTTTTGACGTGTAAAACGACTTACAAAGGGATCTTCATAGCGATATGAAATTGTTAGTTACAGCCATTAAAAAAGGCTTAGTAACTTGTAAGTTACATGATCAACAATAGTAATTTCAATTCTTTTTTGCTAACATCTTTCAAAATATGAAAAAAAATGGGGCTCCATTCAACAACGAATTTACATGGTATTAACATAAGGTTTTTTGTAAGTGAGGATGTCTAAAATAGGCCTAAACCTAGCTGCGAGACACGTTTGTTGTCATGTTCTTGAATTCTGATTGGCTCATGGAGTATGGAGAATTTTGGTCGCTCAGCCAATCAAAGATTTGGAACCTATGCTGTATTAACATAAGGTTTTTTGTGAGTGAGAATGTCTATTGTGCAGTTGTCTTTACATAAGCTGCAAAATCAGGTGGACGCTCTGTTACTTGCCTTCTCTAGACTTCTAAAATGTTGACTTTACCTTCTTAAAATGTTGATTTTTCAATCATCTATAGACTGTCGTTTTTTTTCTAATTTTCAGTCCATTTAGCTTGACTTCAATAGTGGTCAACGTCGACGTTTTTCATGTTGACCATAAAGATGTGTAACTATGATGTTAACAAGCAAGGAACCTAAGTTCCAATTTGTTAGGATTTTCTCAAATTGTGCTCGGCTCTTTGGCATTGACTAAAACAGTGTTATCGGTCTTGGAGATTACATAACATAATCTAGGTTGTGTAGAGAACATTTTTGGCCTAATGATTCATCCTCGTGGAGCACCTACATGATTGTATAAGAGGATTGTAATACTGTAGAATGAAATTCCTGCCGCTATTCGCAACAGACCAACAAATCTGCTTTTTGAAGCCAATGTGAATACAATTTGCTCGATTTTAAATTGAACTTCATGGGTCCTTCACCCGTTCCGTCCCTGATCAATCGATCATAACGAGGTTAATCAGTTGATGGTCCTTCCGTGCTCTCTACCCCTTCTTTTGATTGTTCTATAAGTTCTTCTTTCGTCTCCTTTTCTCTTAGATTTTACTTGCTTGTCGTAATAATATTCGTCTTCAAAATAAGAAAAAATTCTCAAATTCACTTGAGTCAACTCTTTGTCGATATAAAATTTTTGTATTATAGGCTTTTAAATATTGCATTCTACTGTAACAGGGGTTATTCTAAGAAAAATTTACAACACTACAAATACAATCACTGGTATCTTTTTCGCTAATTTTTTCAACTCTACTGTTGAGAATAAACCAAAAGAAATGGTGGTACAGGGGCGTCACTGGGTACGGTACGGTTGCCAGTTACCTGCAGGCGAGGAGCAAACTACTCTTGAAAATGGTGTACGAGATTAATAATCACTAGTGATCATTTTACGATTAAATCAATTTTGTGTGTTATTAATTTGGTTTTAGGAGATAAAAGTGATTAATTTTTTATCAATTTAGGATTATTTAGAAATTGAATCATAGATCAAAAATTGCTCTCAAATAATTTCATGTGCAATAAACGTCGTTTGAACACATGACGGTAAACCAATTCAAAAGCCAAGTTAAACAACAATGTTTCATATGTTAAATGACAAACAATCATGCCAGTTTGGCAATGATTTTGCAACATACTATATGAAATTGAAAAATAAAATTCCGCACAGGAGAGGACCCAGAGAAAAATTTGACCGTTGCAGATTTGCGAAAGAAAAAAGGTAAAAAATTTAATAACATTCAGGGGCGTCGTGACCGGGGGTGTGGGGGTGTCACACCCCGTCCTTCCCCCCAATAGTATCTTAATAGGAAATTTCAGGTAAAATCCGCTCTGTGGAAGAAAGGTTTTAGGTATTTTAGAGACCTTCATGTCATAAAATCAATAAAGGATCAAGCAAAGGTAGTTGCTCCGTTGGTTAAATATGATATTACTTTATATGAATGAAGGTAAACCAACTAATGATTTGAAGATTTGAAGATTTCTTGTTGGCACTAAATCGAAAAATCCAGGCCCTCTTTAGGTAAAATTGTCTCTTGTGTCCATTTCCCCTAAAGTTTCTCGGTAGAAGCGTCAACTGCAATTCACTATGAACTCCAGATTTTTTTTAACATTCAAAAGGCATGCTAAGATGGAAAGAGGGATCTAAATTGACAACAAGTGCTGCTTGTTACCTAGCTTTAGAAGTAACTGACAACATGGTACTTTTCAAGACCACGGCGAAATTGTACCAGTTGTTTTTATCTGCTGTTCAATTTGTTTGCAAAAAAATTATTTTCAATAGGATTAGGAGGATTGCTTTAGTGAAATGTGCTTGAAAAAGTGCATTTTCCAGGAAACTGGAAACATCAAAATTCGAAAATTTCCTGCTCCTTCGGCGGCAACCATGGTGCCGCCTCGGGTAGTAACTATATCCTTTCCCGTTCCGATATAGAGATTTGACAAAACTATTAGGAAAATTCCGTTATTATCAAATTAAAATGAAACTTGCGAATTATTTACAGAGTTAGATTGACAAAATGCATTGCAGAAATTTGTAACAGCAACTAAAGAATTTCAGGCAAAAATCCTTTTATCAGGTAAATTTATAGTATTCCACAAACCTCCCCCCCCCCCAACAAGGCTAGCCTCGCGATGGCCCAGATAACATAGACAACTAAAAACAGTGTTATCTTTTCTGAACAGCAGAATAAGCGAAATATTAAATCAATATGATAGGTTTCCTACATTATGGATGCAGGGTGACAATAGCCTGAAGTGAAAAACAGTGAACAGTTGTTGAACACCTTGTAAGAGACATTAAGACAAAAGCATGTGCTCTGTTGTGTGGGCCGTCTACTTTCGCCATCAGAATTTAAATATGCATCAATAAAGCTATCTCTTCTGTACAGTAGCATTAATAACATGGATGGAAATAGCCTTGGATGAAAAACAGTGAACAGTTGTTGAACACCTTGTAAGAGACATCAAGGCAAATGCATGTTTTCTGTTGTGTGGGCCATCTACTTTCGTCATCAGAATTTAAATATGCATCAATGAAGCTATCTCTCCTGTACAGTAGCATTAATAACATGGATGGAAATAGCCTTGGATGAAAAACAGTGAACAGTTGTTGAACACCTTGCCAGAGACATTAAGGCAAATGCATGTTTTCTGTTGTGTGGGCCATCTACTTTCGTCATCAGAATTTAAATATGCATCAATGAAGCTATCTCTCCTGTACAGTAGCATTAATAACATGGATGGAAATAGCCTTGGATGAAAAACAGTGAACAGTTGTTGAACACCTTGCCAAAGACATCAAGGCAAATGCATGTTTTCTGTTGTGTGGGCCATCTACTTTCGTCATCAGAATTTAAATATGCATCAATGAAGCTATCTCTTCTGTACAGTAGCATTAATAACATGGATGCAAATAGCCTTGGATGAAAAACAGTGAACAGTTGTTGAACACCTTGTAAGAGACATCAAGGCAAATGCATTTTTTCTTTTGTGTGGGCCATCTACGTTAGGCTTAAAAACTTGAATATGCATAAAAAAGCAATTTTCCTGAACATAGATGCATTAGCAACATGGATGCAAATAGCCTGAAATGAAAAACAGCAAACAGTTGTTGAACACCTTGCCAAAGACATCAAGGCAAATGCATGTGCTCTGTTCAGTGGGCCATCTACTTCAGGCTTTATTGAGACAGTTGTTGAACAACTTGCAAAAGACATTAAGGCACATTTATGTGCTATGTTCTTTGCCCATCGCTATTGGAAAATGAAACTGTCATTCCTGAAACTTTAACCGATAGAAAAAATTCCAAGTTCCGGAAAGATCGAACTTTATTTGGGGAAATTACAAGAATCTGACATAAATCATTTCCCATAAATGTAACAAGTGCAACTGCAACAGCCGGAGCTGTCTGGATCCACCCCTGTAGCAATGGGTGAACAATGACTGCTATCAGGCGTGGTTTTCGGTCAGATCAACTTCAGTGGCATTTAGGCAACAAAAACAGCAATGGTTGTTTCAGTGACCCTGACATCAGAACGTGGCCTCAATTTTTGCTCCATAGCCGGGTACTTAGAAAAACTTGTTGTTGTTATATTCATGTTCCTGAGCGTGCGTTTGCAGATTTTCAAAAGTGTTCATGAAAAGTTTGGAAAAGTGCGAAAGGGACATTTTAAATATTGCACTTTTCAAAAACATATGCCGATAAACGTTGTCAAAGATTCTAATATTTGTTTTTCAGTAATATTTTGTGAGTAATGTTATACTGTATGATTACTTTGGATTTTTATTAATGTGATTAATTTGTGATTACGTGATTTTAAGCAGTGATTTGCCCCTCGCCTGCAGGTGTCTAACGCTATCCGACTGGGCTCGTCCTATCTGTCACCCCAACACCTGTGCATTGTGTTAACCATGACCACCTTCAGATCACTGGTTGATCATTGGTTTATTGACTCCAGTGTCCTTTATCCAAAACATTCCAATGGAGTTTCAGCAATAAATTGTGGAACTGGGCAGGTACAGTTTTGAGTCCTGCAGACTAAAATATTGACTACGCTGGTGAGTATTATGTCACTTGGAGTTCTCCTACGGACTAGGATGAGGCAAGGGAGGGTGAATATATTACGGGTCGGGATACTAAAGCCCTTTTAGCCCCCATCGCCTCCTTAGCCTTCAGGTGGATGACAAGTGCCTCTATTTGGAAGCGGGATTGGATGTAAAAGCACATTGGTGTCGTGATGGACCATACTTATTAACATTAAAATATGCGCACCTTCCTTAGCTGAGCACAGGTTGTTCTTTCTAGGTTTGTAGTGATGAGATACAATAAAATTAAATTTTGCCAAGAAATACGTTTTCAAGAAGATCAAAGTCACACAAACCCTTTGTTCAGATTGATTTAGCGAGACCGAAACCCCTTGTTCAGATGGTCCCAGCACGACTGGCCGAAGCGATCAAAATTTTACAAATCTTGTTTCGATCAACAGATACTTTTATTTTTTCTAGACTCTTCTATTAGAAATATAACCGCAACTGACCTGATGACCTGAAATACGACCTTAATTCGACTGATCGAAACGATAAAGTGAAAATATTCCGTGAAAACAAAGTAAAATAAGGAATATGATTGTCTTCTAGACGTTTTACTTGGCTGATCTTTCAGATAATCGTGACTCAGTTTGGTATAATTAGTCACGCTGAATCATAAGAAAAACTCTCATGATTCAACGATCGGAACCCGTTCGATGCATGACTGAGGTCCACACCAGGAGGAAAGAAAAGCCATCTTGCCAAGAACTGTCGAAAAGGATGATAATCAAATGAGCTTTGTTTTTAGCTTTAGTCAGACAGATAAAATATCAGTAAAAAGATTCAAGATCCGTTCAAAAAGTCGTTCGAGGGTATGGGGTTAATTACCCCCCCCCCCCCATTTTTGTCAAAATAAGGTCCACATATAGTTTCTATAAATTGATTAAAAGCGTTAGGTAGGGGTGGATCATATGTTCACCTAAGGAAAATTCTCCTGGTACAAAGCACCGAAGCGAGGCAAAAGGGCTTGGTCTCGCTGGTCACGTCCAATACCCTCCCACTATGCAGTAGCTTCCGCCACCGCTGATTGGGGGTATCGGTGTCTTTTAGCCTATGTCGAATCTTCATTTAAAGGTGTTCTTTGGAGCTTGGTGTGAGATGTTCTTTGGAGCTTGGTGTGGGCACAGAATAGAAATATTCTGTGATGTAGGGTTTACCCCGCTAACCTTACCCTAAGAAAGGCTTCCTTGCGACATTTTAAAACAATTAATCAAACGAATGAGAAACAAATGCGGCATGAATAGCCCAACATGAGAAACAAATGCGGCATGAGAAACAAATGCGGTATTGAACAGAAGTAAGACCAAAACTGTTCATCAGCCCCAATTTCTCATTCAATTCAATAAGATTTTTCATTGAAAGAAGTTTTGTTAGCCTGCGTCACAGACCATCACCACTCTCCTCCCTGGTTTTGTTTGTGGCTAAGTTTTGTTTGAATGTTCAGAGGCACTTTATTATTGTCAATTAATCTCTTTATTCCAGTTTCAAATATAACTTCTGCTAGCCTAAGAGTAAAAATGAGCGTTATAAAAACCACAATAATGAATAGAATCTATCAAAAGCCGTGCTGTCAGTCGGAGACATAACAAAGTGTTTCCTCCCTTATCTCAGAAATAGCCTGGCAAGCGGCCGCATTTTTCCTTTTGCCAATTTCGAAATGCCCTGTTCCTGTGTGTGGCGCGGTCGAACCATTTGAAACCACTGAGATCAGTGTTTAAAATCAAATGTCAAATTGCAAGACAGATGGAGCTAAATCCCTCAACTGTTAGATCGAAATCGTTTGTTTTTCACTTTCAACCTCAAGATTCTCTTTTCTTTGAACAGCGAGAAATCTAATTCGTAGATTCGTCGAGGAAAAAACCTAGCAAACATGTTATTTATTGAGCACTCAACCACATACATTCAATAATTAAACTTGGAGCAGCTATGGGGGGCTTGGGGCCCGCCTGACTGCTAGAAAGACCGGGGATATACGACCTATTAGCTGCAACCACAACGACTTCTTCTACCCCCTTCCTATTCGGCCTCTTTGGTCCGCAGATTTGCAGGTTTCATAGACATTTGACAAGAATGCCACAAGCTACGGGGTCAATGTTATTGCTGAATTAATCTCGGCTAACTTAATAGAGAAATAACTTATTTAAAAGAATGCTTAGGGTAAAGATTTGCTAATATTACGAGACTTTATTAATGCTTTGAGTGCTTAGATTGTCTGTATTGTTTGAGTTTCTAATGGTGTCTGTTTTTGACTTAATTGAGATTAAATATGCGGATTGAAAGCCTTTTCAAATATATTATGGAATGAAGACAATGTGATTCTGCTTACGTCAAGTATCAACAAAAGTTTCCTGGCAAATTCGCAAAGCCGTGCTAACCACTACAACAGCTATCGCCATAAAAGTGCGAGAAACGGAACGGGAGGTGTGGTTTCAATTCATCTGACAATCCTTAGCTGGCAAATGGAGGATATCGTTCTGAAAGTAGAATTTCTGATGTTTATGTGCTGCTATTTCTAGTTTCATGGAACAGTTTAGAAATGGCAGGCGGACTCGATGTGCTTTGTTGACCTGAACGAACGCCACCAGGCATGGTGAGATATTTGTGGTTAAGCCAGTCTTAACTGCTGTTGCAAGGGTAGATGGACAGAGTCTTTTATTTTTGTTCGTCTTAACTATCTTGATGCAAATAGTTCTAATGGATTCGTACCAACCCGCCGCGAAACCAAAGCTCAGGCATCACAAGGTAACGATCTCACTATATTATCAAAATATTACAGATCGTACAATCATCTCTCTTAGATATTATTTAGTGGAAAGAAATGTTTTTAAAAAGTTTATCATAATAATATTTTCAGAAGAAATAACTTTGGCAAAGATTAACAAAAATGGGTGATAAGGACGTTATCTTCAATTTATTTTAAATTTCTCAGGTTTTTTAGAATTTCATACCCCAGCACCAATGAGCACCTGAAAAGAATTTGAAATGTAAATAATGAAGAAAGGATTTTAAATAGCGCCTTTGTGAAATGAGAGGAGGAAAGGCAAATAAACACTACGATGTGTTGGGCCTGTAGTTGTTTCATGAACAAAAAAAGTAGCTAAGCTGCTCTGGAAAACTTATCGTTTACATATCTCTTTATATGAAAGACTATCGTTTACATATCTCTTTATTTGAAACCAAACATAGCATCAAATTGAAATTACCTTTCAAACGAGCTCGCAATTGCAGGGAGTCTTGTAAGTAAAAAGTTATTTAATACAGTGCCTATTTCGAGGTGTTTCATGATGCTTTTTCAGGCTATGGGATCTAAATTCAATAATCCAAATTCATAAATTCTAAAAATAGATTTCTGTGACGTCATGACTTTAGAACTCTATTGCCCAAACTGTTGTTTCCCTTGGAAATGAAGAAGATATTCAGCTGGTTGTAACCTTATTTGTCAGCCATCGCATCCAAAATATATGAAATATCATTTCCATGTTTGAGAGTTGAAGTACGAATTAATAAGAATGCAGGACTGTACCTACTATCTTTCTTCTGGAGAGTAAGGGGCCTCATGCCCCTTAACGGGGGTCATAATCGCTTAAGAATTAGGCCAGCTCTCAGTGCCTTGCTTTCAAGGTATCAAAATTTTTGGAAGTAAAATTACAAATTTCCATTCATCTGCAAATCATCTGCAATCTCTCCAGAAAGTTTAAAGGGCATTTCAAAATTGACAGTATATAAAATTCTTGGAGATTTTGCTATATGAATATAACATAGTCGTCAAAATCATCCCATGTTGAATTGCTTTTCGCTGGGTTATAGAGGATGCATACGCCTCTCCTTCGCTTCTTGACATCTTCAAAGAAGATTCCTTTCAAACATTTTTATTTCAAATAGGGAAAAGAAGAGTTCCCTTTTTTGGACAAAGTTAAAAAAATGATTTTTTCGACGTAAACAGCGATTCCAGTTCTAGAAAAAATTAAATTAAGACTAGAAATGGCATTTTGAAAATCTTTATAGCCAAAGAGCATTTTCAAAGAAGTTGCCTTTTCCAAAGAACAGATACACCTCGCAATGAGGACGGATAGAATTGGAGAAGCACCATTGTTTGAGAACAATAGAAACAAAAGGAATTGTAAATTGAAAACAAAGGACTTCTATTTTCTTAACTTGGGAATCGATGCTTGTCCCTACGCACTGGACTCGGTCGCTTTATGGGTGGTGCTGATGTTGGTCTATTCAAATGGTCGAAACCAATCAAATCACAGAGACTAATCAGCAGTTTTAACGATCGTGCATGCACATGCAACTGCAAACGAACACTGCTTTGAACGCTGCCTGTAAAGTATGCAGTTTTTTCAATAAAAAGCTAAACTATGACAGGACAATATATTGATCATTTCAGCTATTGCTTGAGGCTTAGAATTGAGTCCTTGCCACAAAACGAACTAGAAAATTTCACCTCAGGTTTCATGGGGGCTTCATGTTGCTAAATGGTGTCCTGTTCCCGGCGCGGGTACTCACATTATGGCCATTCAGGGTCAAAGAGGGCCAAAGCTTAAGTGTTAAGAAATAACCCTCAAATGGAAGTCTTTTGGCAATAACCCTCAATTGGTAGCATAAGAATCGAAATTATGCTCTTGGTAGCATCATTTCTTTGTGCTCGCCTGGTCGTACTTTGACAAATTTCTTCGCCATGGACTGTTATTAATTCTGGAAAGAGGGTGATTCGTGAGCATCAAGATCATATTTCATCATATTTCATCTCCATTGGCCCGTCATTCGATTTACGTAAACGGTTGCAAAATCTGGAAGTGGTCACATATTCAAAGATGTTTCGGCACAGATTAGCCATTTTAACGTAGGTGCAAGTCTTGATTCAAATTTCATGCCAAAAAATTAATTGAAAGGAACAAAGTCATGATGACTAGGTGTTCTCTCCTGGGGTTCATCTTCATTCGGCAGTTCGTGTGATCTCGCCAGCAATAAAACCAATACCAAGTGATCACTTTCAGGTCTAACAATCGTGCAATCTTTTATCATGACTCAGTGCCATTAACACGCAGGTGTTACCTTCTTTTATCATGTTTTGGTAAATCGTAACACTCTGGTTTTATAGTAAAGTATGAACTACATAATATGCCGTAACTATGATTTTGTGATTGTTGGAGGCATAAAACAATGTCCTAGACCGATAAAAGTGGCCCATTATAACCGATGTCACTCCATGAAAATCTCGTACGCCTTTGGCAAAAAGTTTTGTTTTGGAGAAAATCCGCCTAAAATCCCTAGAAATCCTATTTTTCTAAAAAATCTCGTACGTTATTTGGGAAGAGTGATACACCCCTCGATTTTAAGTATTCGGGAAAAGAAATGCGAATTAATGGCTGTTCAAAATAATGTTAGAAAGCAGTGTCAGGAGCACAGGCTAATATGACAGTGGCTCTCGACATTTGACGTACATTAAACTAAAACAGAAATTTGCTCGCCTAAGGCGCTTCTCCTACACGAACTTATTTTAGTGTAGCTTGTAAACAATTAATAATAGTTGCAGTGTATTCCTTAATAATTAGTGTAGCGTATTCCTGATTAATAGTTGTTGTAGTTGTTGTAGTCACTAAATATGCGTATTGAAATATGCAATTAAAAAATAAGCTTTGAATTGAATGAGATTAGAAAAGACATAGAATTAGTACGGATCGAAGTTAGGATCTAAACTAGAATTTACGTTATGATCGATCGAAGTTATACAGTCCTCTATTGCAATTAGAATTGGAGCCTAAACAATAAATCTTTGTCTTTTTTATCCTGCATCTGTAGTATTGAACTTGAGCCACCAGCAAATATTTCGCATATAGCTTGCGACTTTTTTGGCTGATTCGAGTTTGAATAGTTTGTCATGGTTGTATGGGCGTAGTGGATGCAAATATTTTGGAGGGGGGTGGCTTAGTTGATGAGGGGGTTGGGCTGCAGCCGTCGCAGCCCCTACCTCTCCTACGCCGATGCTTGGTTGCTAAAAGCATATCAGTACCAATAAAGTGTTAAATAATAAAGTTGCGTATCTTCTCTTCTCATCGTTTCTAGACATGCTCAGTAATTTTCTATTTTTTAGATTCAAAATTGAAACGTCTTTTACTTCTATATTTTAGATCATGTGTTGTGCGGTCATTCGGGCTTCTTGAGGTGGCTTCGTAGATACCTGTTACCAATAGAACGGCAACTCAAAATGATGAACATCTACGTAAAGGTACTGTTTGGGTCTGCGTTAACATTCGCCGCACTCCAGGTTGTTCATCTAATATTTTCAAACTCACACTATATGAGCGGTCAAGCATCACTTGAGTCTTTCCGCGCGGGAAGCTGGTCATGCGAGCTGGACAAACAGTTGGTCCTACATCTTCGAAAAGAAATTAAAGAGAAGGAAAAACTTCTGAAATATCGCGAGAAAGTTATCAACACGCTGCGGAAAACTGTATCACAGCTTAACAGAACGACACAAAATGAAATGGGACCGTTACCGTTGTCTCAAGTTAAAAGTGTTATACGAAAACGATCCTTCTCGGAAAATTATGAGACCCAAAATACGTCAGAGCATGAATCTAAAATAAACATTAAAGGAAAAGGAGTGAAGCAGGACAAAAGTCATACACCATTTCCCGATAAGTTGGACGAAGTGGCGAGAAATGGCACAAAGCCATGCTGCATGGCTCTGAAGCGAATGTCGGACATTCTTCGTCAGTACATCGACACCATACGGGACTTGAAGCATCAAGTGGCAATTTACGAGCAAACCAATGTTACTGCAAAACTGCTCCGCTACGGGGAGATAGTAAAGCGACAGACTATTGCGAAAAACTGTTCGACGTACTTTATTCCAAAACGAGTGGAAAAGCAGAAAGATGAGCTCTTCCTGAGTAGCGATTTGCATTCAATATTCGAGGCACAGCCGTTGTACATGGAACCAAAACAGAAAATTGGAAATTTCGGTGCAAAACATCGTAATATTGACTTGAAAACAGCCTGGAGTTGGGCTGTTAAAGAATTGAAAAAATACTCAAAAGATAAATCTGAAAAGACTCTAGAACCCCTTGATATTCTTTTTAATGGAGATCCTCTGAAAGGAAACCAGTATATATTTACAGCTAGGACGAAATCGGGGAAGGTTTTTACTGTGCCTGTTCTAAGGCCGCTTGGTCCGTACATTAGCGATGGGAAAATAATGGAACAGACAGCAAGGCTGAAGGAGCTCATCAATATTATAGTTCCTCTTTCTGGACGGTCTCATTCCTTGGAAAAATTCCTTCATATGTTCCATGAAGTATGTACAAAGAACAAAGAGAATGTCTTTCTCACAATTGTAATATACGGAAATTCAACTACTGCTGCTAAATTGAAACATACGATTAACGCGTTTGCAAAAAAGTCGCGCATTATAGGATACGATATTATGAGACAGGATTTGCCGTTCTCGCGTGGCCGCGCGCTAGATGATGGGGTGAACCGATGGAATGGCAAGCGAAACGTATTGATGTTTTTCTGCGACATTGACGTAACTTTCGATCGTAACTTTTTGCGGAGATGCAGAGCAAATACGAGAGCTGGTAAACAGGTTTACTACCCGATATTGTTCTCGCAATACAACCCGCAGATATCCAATAAGAATAGAACGGACAAGCATACTGTAGAGATTGACTCAGAGTCGGGCACATGGCGGCCGCTGGGTTTTGGTATGGCCTGCATTTACAGGGCTGACTACCTCAAAGTTGGCGGATTCAACTTGAAAATTAAGGGATGGGGAGGCGAAGACAACGATTTATTTAACAGGTAATTTCATGATTACCCAAGTATCTTTACCTTTTTTTACTCACATGTAGTATCATTCATTTCATTGCACGGCTTTTGCTTAGGTTTATCGATTTGAGCAGCATGTACTATTATGACACACTGGCCACACCAACGTATAGTATAAGCCAAGAGCGTCCAACATACGGCCCGCAGGCGGTTTGATTTCCTGTGGCCCCTGCTAAATCAATTAATCTTTTAAAATTTAGCCCATGAGCTATGTCGATCTCTGTATCTGTATCTGTATGTTACTTAGCTACTAACTCACTAATGAGTACATACGCTAAGGGTCTGTTGTTGATTCCTGATTTCCACTGAACGCCTCTATTCATGCGAAGCTGTCTCGACCTTCAACATGAGCATAATTACAAAATTTTGCTGCAAAATGAAGTTTGGCCACTTGCAAGAAGCTGAAGCCAGCATATGTCGATGGTGTGCCATTCCCGCCAAAATGCATTCTAATCATTGGGACGTTTTCTCTTATGAAGCTGAACAAATCAAAGCTACCAGTTTAAAATGTGGTATGATAAACACTCTGCAACCAAAATATATAGCATTTCGCATTCATAATTTTCTAATATATCTGTTTGTTTAACTTTTCATATAAAGTTTTCATGTTCAATACAAAATTTGCCGATAGGTTTTGCCCGCCTTTGCAGTAAAGTTTTTTTTGCCCCACCTAAAAAATAAGTTGGACAACCCTGGTATAGGCCCTTAGCAATAGTCACAAAGTTCCAGGCCAAGGGTAGGGTCTTTCATATGATGCATTGATAATTGTGCCTAAGACAACATTATTATTCATATTTATGCATTTTGGTATCAGGGGGGAGGGGTAGGTACTATCCACTCACTAACTCTAGATTCTAGATTTCTTTCCGACAGAAAACAGGGCCTCTATGAAAATTTCTGCAACCCCCACCCTTTCTAAATACCCTCTTGTTTGACTTGGATGCCACAGCAAAGTTTCCCCTTTTGTTTTGCTCGCAATTCGTTGTTTTGCCTACGTAGACACCAGCCTATTTTTCAAACTATGGTGTTCCGTCTGATAACAGGTATCCCTTGTCACCAACGACTGCAACTTAAAATAAAGGTAGTTAATGCTCCTGGAAAATTAACGATACTTCCTGGTTTTACCTCAAACGCTTAATAATCTGCTAGAATGATGCGAGGGTCGTGAAAATAAGACATCTGCAGTCGCCATTTCGAATTCAACGTTTTGCAGTTCCAGCCACAACAGATCAGAAATAATAGGTACAGCTCTCTACTGGCTATTGTACAGCTCTCTTACAAATATGGTATCATTTCCGAGTTCCAGATGCTGTTTTGACTGAGTTCCATCCGTGTTCCAAACAAAAATTTTATTGTTTCAATTCATTCACTTCCGAGGCACAAAACGTTTATTTCCGAGTTCTAGGATTGACTGCTGTTGTCCTCCACATAATCTGGAAAATCGTTTCAAAATCACGACAGAGAAAAAGGAAGGAAAAGGGCGAATGAATTACATCAAACTGGCAATTTTAAGATTTTGAAAACTGACTGAGTTCTGTGCACCAAGGAACTCACTCTGGATCTGCCTCTGGTAGATACTCTTTAAGTAAATGAAGTGTTGTAACCAGGACCGTCGTCCGTCATGATCAGGGGTGTAACACTTCCTTGAGAAAAAACATTCCACTTCAAAGATGACGAGTTTTTCCACTATCTTGGGCAAGTAAAGATGGCTCACCCACTTTGACGGCTATTGGGACCTGGAACCCCCCCCCCCCCCCACTTGATGAGAACAGTATCTAGTGATGTCCCTGGTTTGCAAGAGACAGTTACATGTCGCAAATCTAACTTTTGTACCAAGTAAAGTTTTTGCGAAAATAAGCATTTCAACATGGAATTAATTTGCTTTTATTTTGATTTTAGATTATCAAAAAGTCCAATAAAGACAATACGTGCACCAGACCCAGGACTCTTTCACAAATGGCATTTTAAAGAATGTGATATATCACTGGATAAAGTGAAATACAATCATTGTTTGGGTGCAAAGGCAAGGTATGAAGGATCCCAAAGACAGCTAGGGCTCATTTTATTCAAACAACCTGAAAGGTAGCAAAATAAATTAAGCAATAGTAATATTGGCCATTAAACAGGCCAAAAATAACTGGTAGACCATCAAAAGATCATAAAAACACTCTGTTTTGGAGACAAAAAAACAGCCAAAAAAATACAGAAACATAATTTTAATTACAAAAGTCTTTGGTTACAAAATAATTCTTCTTGTTGTGAATCTAAAAAATGCAGGGAATTTTGTTCAGGCTTCTATTTAATTGAGAAAATTTTTTTTATTGATGTATGTATTGAATATCTGAAATTTTAAAATCAAATTTTGATATCAGAAATAACAAACAGATTTTTACAACATGTTTAAAATAATAGTGCTGTCAATTATAATAATATGCAATAAATGTTACCTCAAAGTAAGACAAAGCCTTTGTTTCTGTCAAAATTACATTTAAATAGTTTTGTGCACTATTTTCTTTTTACTGCACTTAATTACCTTTTAAATTATTTGGAAATGAGTTTAGGAAATAATATTTATTGCTATCTTTTGGGTCAGGCTTCTGCTCTCCCTGATGGTGATTGATAACAAATATGATAGTTGGGGACAATGACAACTAAAATAATTTTTACCTAGTTTATATAATTGTTTTATAGATCAAATTCCTTGAAGATCCCATGCAAAAGCTTATAAAAGATTATCTGAAATTAAAAGTATTTCACATTGAGATAAAATATTTCACATTGAAATTGCAAAATATGCTATTGATTATTGTTTTTGGTATATAAAAAAATATTTAGGGCAGATTTGAGTTTTCTTCAAGAGGCACATTTTGAGGGAAGTTATCAAAGTCATAGTATTTGTGATCTATTTTGTCTTCAAAAACACGAACAATTCTCATGCCTGACAAATCATCACCAATTTGGCAGCCTATAGCACTTGTAACAGTCATCTCAAAGTCACCATCTTTTCCCCCTGCATTTCTATGGTAATGACCCGCGAATGCATGAAAGATGTTTGCTTCTTTGAATCTTTTCAGGAGCCCTCTTCTTTTTTCTGGCTCAATGTTGAAATAATCTTCTGCTTCATCTGGGTCATCATGAAACCATGGGATATGTTGCAGCATTATGCAGTGTTTGTACTTCCTTGATTTTGCTATTTGTAGTTGATCACTCAACCAGTTTTCATGGTGTTGAAGGGAATGTGGGACATTACTTGCATCCTTGTAAAATTGATTATTAACAACAATGAAATGAGTACCTAAAATAAAGGTGTACACAATAGTTACAATGTGTTTTCACAAAGACAGTCAACACTATGTATCTATGAATCTATCCAAATAGTACCACATTTTTTATTTGCATCAATTTATAGTAGGGGTCATTCAAAAAGTATCTAGACCATGGAGGAAGAGGAGGTGTCTCAAAATCATACAAAATTAACTCCAGTGTACCTAAAATGATTTTTTCAAGCTTAATGAATTAAAATAAAGGACAAAAAAATTTCATCAGATAAAATCACGAACAATAAACTTTAGCAAAATATTTTCAGGGGCAGCTGGGAGTAGAAAAATATTAGTTTTAGTCTGATGAAAATGAGGCATAAGAAGCCCCTACCCTCACCCCCCCTCCACCCTCAAGGTCATAAAACCATTAACAGGAGTTACCTTAGAAGGTGGGAGAAAAAACTATTAGATATGATGCTTTGGAATAGCTTATTGAAATAAGTATTAGCCCATTAATTCTAAAATTCTAAAACTGCAGCAAACTATGCGAGTAAAATTGTATTTTGATACAGGTGTTTGCTGCCAAGTAATGGAGCCCCAAGAAATTAGCCCATTAATTCTGATACAATGATGCTTTTGACCCTTGACTGAGATACTGGTACAATACACGAGTGATTCACTATAGAGATATGCGGTACAAAAATGTAAAATGCATCATCTGATAAGAAAAAGTGAGAGAAAGAATTTGAAAATATTGCCAGTGGCTATACAGATTAGTTTTTGATATTTAATTACCTGCATGAAACACCTTGAATCAAATTTTCAAACAAAGCAACTTATACAACTGCCTTTTAAATCAGCAGGCTGAAAATGATTTCATGACTGTTGCTCTAGATCCAGTGTCAATCAGTGCTCTTTTCAAAGATTTCAAAGAGGATTGAATTTTGCTCATAGCTAGCTTTTGCAAATTTCTGCATCTAGGTTATAAACATTACACATACTAAATTCCCTAAAGGCTTGGTGCTTGCACAAATTAGAGATTGGTCTTTCAATTTCAGTTGAAGGTCCTCATAATAAAGAGCAATATGTTATCATACCTTGACAGCATGTCATCTCAAACATCAAAGATAACCAGTCAATTGTTGAGTTTTTCATCGAACTGTTATGAAATTTTCAGATTAATCATCATTTCTTAACTTTAGATGCCTATATCTCAAAAATTGCAGACGTGACAACAAATAGCAAAGCTTGTCCTAGCTGAGCTCTGCTTTAAAAAGGTTTTGTTTACCTCCAAAAATAAAACTGTAATAGTCATCACCAAAATTTTCTGTATATTCTTGGATAGTCTCTTGCGTTGGGGCATTACCAATGTCATGATTGCCAGGAAGACACACCAGAGGAATGTCACTCTCAAGTCGATCGAGACATTTGACCAAATCCTTTATTTGTAACCTATGTTTTTCAGTTCCTGGTGCTGCATCAACAAGATCGCCACAAATAGCAACAAATTTTGGCCTTGGTATTAGTCGATTTATACAGTCAATAGCTTTGTTTGTCAACTCTATTTCCTTGTCCCATGTCACTTTCTCTGGGGGAACACCATTCCAGCCATCTATCAGGCCCAATTGTGGGTCCGCAGCTAAAATAAAGTAAAATGAGCCTTTCCAAGTGCCATGCTGTTCCTCTGTTAGTCCTGGGAAGAATCTTTCATGCGGTTTTCGCATTTTCCAGGCCCCTTCTATAAAGTCTGTGTCTCTACCTTTGGACTCCATCTTGGCAAAATTTTAACTGTTGTTGTAGATGTTGTCATCGTTGCTGCTGCTGCTGGCCGATGAGCTGTAGCCTGTAGCTATAGTCACAGAAGAAGAATAACAGTTATTCTTATTCTTAACAGTTATTTTTTTCCGTTATTCTTATTCTGTGCTATAGTTCTCAGGCTAGTGGATCCCATACTCTACGTGCTCTCTTGGGTACCTTAACCACAACAAGTTTCATCGCTTAAAATTTTCGGCAGAGAAACTTGCCAATTAAAATTTTGGCCAACTTTTCAGAATTTCATCATGAAATAATTTCGCCGTGGATTTTAGCACAGCAAATATAAGACCATATAACCAATACTCCAAAAGCCATACAATTTTTAAATAGTATTTTGTGCTTCGCTTGAGAAGAAGACCACAACTTCAAAGTCGTTGGGTGTTTTGTTTACGAAGATACTCGCTCTGAACAGTCTCAGAGGTTACGCAGTCTCTTCCCACGTGTCAGGGTTGCAGTACTCCACAGAGACATTCAGCCCCTTCTGCCCTCTTCCAGGAAGAAAAGGTTAAATCCTAAGAAAAGATTATAGAATCTTGTAGATAATTGATGATTAGTTTAGCCACTCTCATTATGGTAATCTCCTTTTTGCTGTTGGTCTTTGATAAAGGAAAATTCTTTTTCAGCAGAGGATAATAACTTTTCAGGTGGATGCATGCAATTTAGCACACTTGTAGAACTTGATATACTGATTACTTTAAAATTCAGACCCACTTTAAAAATTCGACATCATGATGTCACGATGACGTCACATTTAGATGATTTTTTATACAGATTTTGCAAGAACATGATTTTTTGAATAAAAGAGAGCTGTAGTCTAAATTTATAAGCTTTCACTATGTAGGAACAATGGCATAACGATGAAAGTCTATCATAATCTATGCCACACTACAGAACGCTATACACTGTAGCTTTGCTTTAAGGCATTTGCATCAACCCTACATATTATTGTGATACTAATTGTTAGTTATTTTAATTTGTTGTCTTTTTATTCAGTATTTTGTGGGAATATATGTTGTGGAATTTAAAATACAATAAACCTGAATCCATATACATGAAAATTGTTCAATTTGGTTTCTAATTCATCAGTTTCTCGACGTTCCTAAAATAACAAAGATATATTTTTCCAAACGATTGACGTGGATAAAAGGTCAACTAAGTGCCCTTATCGAATGAGCGTGCATGAACATGAGAAATTCACGATTTCTCATAGAATCAGACAAAGACTGAGATACAGCTTTTTTTTGGGGGGGGGTCAGCCCTCATAAGTAAGTGGAAAAACGGCGATATTTTACAAAATAAAAGTATATATTTATACTACTTAAGGTTTTTTGGGGGCAAGGGCCCCCAGCGTATCTCGGTCCTTGGAATCAGACAATTAATGAATGAGCGATCATGATTTTTTCATTTAGCAAATAGAGAAAACCATTGATGTTTTGATGACGTCATAATAGGGTCTTTAATGAGATTTTGAGATGGGTCTGAGTTTTTAACTAATCAGCATGTCAAATTCCATAAATGTGCCAAATTGCGTGCTTTTACCTCAAAATCCACAATTCTACCATTTTTTTACATCATTCTGCTGGCCTAAATGCATTCTTTGTAATGTAATTTGGTTTTTAATACAAGGTTATGGCTTTGTTGTAGTTGCAATTATTTTATTTCATTCAATTAGTGTATATTATAATGAAAGTTTATTATAATGTATCCCATGAAAATCAGCTCTGCTTAAGGGCAAACCTTAAACATAATATGATATGAAAAAAAATTAACCCAGCAGTGCCTATTATATTATTTCTCACTTCCGCAATTCACCTCAACATGAAAAAAAACATAACTGAACATGTGTAAGTGGCGACTGTCATGTCTGCCATTCCAGCCAAAGGCATGACATTTTGACTTGAGTTTGGTGTTGGCAATGTACCGGAACATCGGTAATCTTCTGCCCAAAATTCTCTATATGGTTTGTGGTGCTTTGCTATGCATGATATACAACGACATTGCTAGGGACAAGGATAGTTCAAATTTATTTCTTTCGAATGCTGGAAAGGAAGAAAAAGGTGCTTGCAACTGCCCAGGTTCGTTGCATGGGATGATGGAGCGGCAGCAGCGAGTATTCGCAGCTGAAAGCAAATTAAGCAAAGAGAAAAGTGACATTGAAGGGCTAGTTCAAAATATTAATGGCGATTTTGATCAGGAAAAGCATGCCCCAGAAAAGACTCATTACTCAAACGAAAAAAGCGAAGTGGACGACACAAGGCTGCCCACATGGGCATTTAATCAAAAAAGCATCTTCCGATCATTTGCTAGTGGTGGTGATCCAAAAGTTAGAATGGACGGGGAGAAAGATAAAACGATGAAAAGACTAATAAGTTCTGCATTTAAAAAAGCATGCATATACGCAAAACAAAGGAAGAAGATTAAAGTTTGTGATCTTTGGCATGGAAGCCTTAGTATTGACATTGAAAAAGGCATTAAAATGTCCTTTATTTTATCTGAAGAGAATAGAACATCGTTAAGGGTTGTTGGCAAATTCAAATTACAAGATTTGTTTACAATTGAGAGTGGCAGAACTGTTAAAAATCAGCAAGGTGAAATTCATGTGATAACAATGATGTCAGACTCGTTGCCCATATCAAGGCTGACAGATTTTCTTGCAATGATAAAAAGTATTCATTTGAAGCAAAAATTGTTTTTCTACTTCTCTCTTTATGGAAAGACACAAAATGTCAGACAATATGAACATCTCATTATTGATGCAAGTAAAAACCTGAAAAATGCAAGATTTAAAGTTTTACATGTGAAGGGCAACTTTGAGAGAGGTGCTGCAAGACATAATGGTGTTTCGATGTTACCTCCAAAGAATGTGCTTATTTTATTTGTAGACATAGATATATCTTTTAATAGTGGCTTTTTGCAAAGATGTCAACTATACACTGAATCAAAGCAAAGTGTTTACTTTCCAATAGTGTTCTCTCAATACAATCCAAAAATTGTTGGACAAAGTAAGAAACCTTGGGTTATTTCATCAAATCATGGAATGTGGAGAGATCAAGGCCATGGCAACTTGTGTGTTTTCAAATCTGATTATTTGGAGGCTGGCGGTTTCAGTTTGAACATCACTGGTTGGGGATCAGAGGATGATGAAATATATCAAAGGTGAATAAACATAGTTGAAGTGTGTTTTTAACTGCCCACATACACCCATCATAAACATGTTTTAATGTGGCACTGAGATAAAAATAAATTAGATGAATGATTCTTTTGGTCATACAAAAACAAAGGGACCCTGGGGACAATACAAGCATAGAAAACATTTGATGCAAAAATTGATGGAGTATACTGCACACTTTGGACATTCCACATCCCATGTTGGTTCCAGAGATTTCATACTACTTTCTTTTTATTTCACATTTTCATTTATCATTTATCATGATAGGATAAGAAACAATACTGCATCACAAATGATATCTTGCTCTCCTTGCATTGCAGGTTTCATGCAAAAAAATATCTCACAGTGCACAGATTTCCTGATCATGGTATCTTCCATCGTTGGCACAAGAAAGAATGTGATATAAAATCATTGGACAGAGTAAGGTATCAAAGATGTCTTTCAACAAAGTTTACATATGAAACCTCTTGTAGGAACTTAGCAATTCTTTACTTTAAGAAAAGCAACAGGCATTGATAATCTCATTCTGGATTCCCATTTAAAAATCAGTGAAAGACCCTTGGGGGGGGGAGCAAATATTTTGGAAGGTAATGGTCTTTTGTTCTAAAAATATGGGGAAATGTGATGCCATCTTATCAAAACAATAGGCTTGCCCCCTTCCCCAAATATTTTACCGAGTGTCCACCCCTGTTAAAAATTAAAAAAAGATTTAGCAGTCTCCTATAATCTTCATTTCCAATTAGTGAAGGGAGTGGTTAGTTTGTGGTTTTTGTGTAACAAAGGCCCAAATATCAATATGCAAGTTTTGATAGAAAGGAGGATCTGGACTAGGGCTGTCCAAACCTTCGGATATTCCTATTCGGTTATTCGGCTTAAAAATTAACGAATATTCGGTTATTCGGCGAATATGGGTGTGGTAACATGGGTGTGGCAGGGTGGTGGTAAAAAACTGCAATCTGGAAATTTTTTTGTAATTTAACCAACCTGTGAATATAGCTAATCAGTCATTACTATTCGATAATCAAAACCATTAATTTTTTTGCTTTCCTATTGATATTTCCTGTGTTTTACGTAACTTCAAAGGGTGTGCTGCAAAGCAATTTTTAAAACGAGTTTTTGTCAAAAATAAATGTTTTCTAGAACCTTCCCTAGCATTAGTTGCCCCTAATGGCCAGAAAGTCAGTATCAAATTAACGAGAAACCATAGTCGTACGTTTTCAAAAAGGGTCGTTTTCCAACATTTTTAAATATAAAAAGCTTCCTAGCACGGGCTTCAACACAGGTTGGGAAGTGGAGGGGGGGTGGGGCAAAAGAAAATTTAACACTCACAACAAATGATTTTGTGAAAAGTTATATTATTCTGCAAAATAGTGGTAGGGCCATAGCCCCCCGGCTTCCCTTTCGTCGGAGGCACTGTAGCACAACAATTTTCCGAGAAAAAGCCCCATGACCCCCACCTGCAAACCAGGCTCCACTCTCCCCTGCCCCCTTCCAATCTTGCTTCATTGGCTTTGTAACTATTTCTTGGGATTGCGTTTTTTAAAGAAGGCCCGTATCCATGAAACTCTCTCTAAGATTGAAGATAGGAAGTTGCCTTTCTCCTTTAGAACAATCCTTGCTATTCGACCAGTCAGTGCTATTCGGTTGGCAATTGCTATTCGATCAGTCACGGTTATTCGATCAGTCACGACTATTCGATCAGTCACGGTTATTCGAATAGTCACGGTTATTCGAATAGTCACAGCTATTCGATCAGTCACGGTTATTCGAATAGTCAACGCTTATCGATGAGTCACGGCTATTCAAACAACCATTGTGGACCTCCAACAGTGAGGTTATTCGCACTATTCGTCTCCAACCGAATAATCGTACTATTCGAACTATTCGTTTGTAACCGAATAATCGTACTATTCGAACTATTCGCTTGTAACCGAATATTCGCTTTGGACTTCAGCTAACCGAATAGTGAAACAGGTAACCGAATACCGATTATTCGACCTTCGGTGGACAGGCCTAATCTGGACTATGCTCCCAATTTATCGAAATAACAAAGAGTTTGTAATAAAAGAATGGCTGGGATAAAAAAACCTCTCATGTTTGCATTGATATAACCTATTGTGTAAGGTGCAAGCTAGTGTAATCCTTTGGGCCCAAGCATATATTTTTTCTTTTCTATTAAAAAAAATTATTTTGAATTTACATTTGTTTGACCTAGAGTGTTCTTAGAGAACGACATTGAATAATAGAAATTTGTATTCTTAGAAAATTTTTGTAGCAGATGAATTTTCAAAATCTATTGGGTGAAAGTATTCTATATTATAAATCATTTCCTAGTTTTGTTTATTGTTTGCTTATTTTTTTACTTTATCAATGAATTGTGATTTTTCCTATTTCTGTTTTCTTCACCTAGCTTTTCTTAATGTCTTTAGAATGAATATATATTTAGTTCTATTTTGTAAGGAGTCTGATTGAAAATTTTCACAATTTAGCCTAGCTATTTTTTTTTTGCAAACATTCTTGTAAATTTTCTTAGCAGTCAATTCTAATCACAGATCTTTTTTATCTTTGTATTTATTTTTCCCAATATCAAAGGGTGATGGCTTTCATTAAAAACTGGGAGAAAATAAACAATCCAAAAGTTCTTCCAGAAATGGAAAGTATGAGGCTGAATAAGGCAACATTACTGCACTTCATGTGAATTATGATCGGATAACCATACAACTGAAAAACAATGCATAGTTCTGATGACTAGGAAACATGTGGTCTTCACTACAGAAAGCATTGCAACTACTAAGAATTCCTAGTCAATTTGATTTCTCCTTTACAACTGAACTGAAATTCAAAGTATTGTACATCATTTTATGCTTACTGTTATGCAGTTATGTCAAAAATATATTGTCACAAGAAAAGATTTGAGTCCTAGCAATTTCTGACCCAAAGAAAGGCAGATAAAACTTATTTATTCCAGCAGACAGATAAAGAACTTGCACCTTGGCTTTAAGTTTGCAACTATCATTTCATGTTTTTGCTGCTTTGCAAAATTCTTACAATTCACTTTCAGGTTTTGGATGAAGTATGATAACTCATAATATTTATAAATTCTAGATATCTGTATTGGTCCGATACATCGTTTAGGATTCTTCACCTGGTCAGTCACACTAAACTTAAGCCCTGTTCATCTGTACATGTTGATTCTTTCATCTAAAAGGAACACCTCTTTGATTGTCATTTTGGTCATGAACAAGGAGTCATATTTTTCCTTGGTCCTTGAAATCTCTTGAGCCATTTGCCTCCATTGATTTGACTCACATTATTAAACATAATTTTTTCTGTTCTTTGCCTTTGAGTGTTCTGTGAGTGCAAGTGTGACTATATATCAAGTCCGTGTAATCTCCACATGCTCCATGATTTCCAAACAGAGTGCAGGTCAAGGTATGAAAACAGCATTGATCACCACATTTTGGCATCCTTGCCATTAAATACCAAGCCTAGATAGCAGATCTCTTTCACCATCATCATATGGCAGGCCTGTTAATCCTCAATTTCTATGTGCAATTCCTCATCATTTCCCCAGGTTATATTCTCATCCTCAGCATCAAATAAAGTCAACTCCGTATTTACACCGACTTCAGATGTGGATGGTTCATTAGCGATGTGGGGTTCCAAATGTCTTTTTACTGGCCGATCTATTGCCTCTATTTCTATTGTGCTGCTTTTGTTTGAATATTTTGTCTTACATGAATCTTGAAGAAGTTTTATTTTTGCTTTTAAACATTCTTTGTACTTAACTAATTTTGCTTTCTCTGACTGACGCATCATATCTTCTTTCCTTAATTTCTGCAAAATTGACAAAATAATAAGAAAATCTAGAGGGATCATGTGTGAAGGTTTAAGAATTTTAAAACTGATGAGTTGAGGAAACCCTGCAACTTAAATTCATGTGGGTTCTTTATTTATGTTCATTTTGGACATCATTCAGAACCTCCTTAGTCTTTCAAGTTTATTTCTCTAGAGTTTATAACATATATTGACAATGGGAGAGGACCTTAAATGAATTTTTCAACAGTTTTTGACAGCATTTGATAGTATTTTTCAAATTGTTAACACAAGGCAATAAAGAAAGAAGATATATTGTATCTGCTTTCATGTAAAAACGGAGAGTCAGGACGGTACTCAAGCTTCCCTGGTAGCACCAGTGGCTGAGTGTCTAAAAATTTTTTAATAGACTGATGAAGTAGCAAAAATTCCAGGAAATATTTTTTGCTAAAAGAGAATTGGAAAAGCTGACTATCAATATTACCAAAATGACATCAGTTGCTTCTTTAAGTATATTCACATTGGATGCTTTCTGACCAGCCAGTGATGGTAGCAGGTCTTGTAACATATTGAAATTACATCTCATTTGAGCTCGTCTGAAACAAAAAAACAACTATTTATTATGTCAATCTATTATTAAATAATACTTTTTTAAATAAAACATATTGAACCATAGTGATAAATAACTGATATGCTAGAATTTCAGAAGTTGTGTACTAATGTGAAGAAAATGCTAATTTTGAATGTTTTCATTTAAAACTGAAGCAATAGGGTTTTTGGTAAAACTGAAGTAAAATCGACCAAGTTAAAGGCAGTCTGTCCCCTCAATGATTGACTTATTTGAACAATTGGTCATCCCGGTTTAACAGATTATGCTGCTCGCTTTGGCTGGCCTAGCTGCGGTAGTGGACAACATTTGAAACTTCCAGCAAAAAGGTATCGGAAATGGCAAGAAGATTTAATAACTTGAATTGAATGATGCTAATGGAAGCATTTCCTTTGCTGTTGACATATCTGTCACACAAACCAAACCTGGAACACAATTTTTCTAGCCACAGCTTCACTTGCACAGGAACACAGCCATTTGAATCAAATACTCTGGAATCAAAGTTGTCTCTGATTGGTTTAAATCGTTTAATTATCAATCAAGCTCAACAGTGCCTGAATTTCACCCCCATGAAAATAACGTTGAGCACAATGGGGGACAGACCGCATTTAAAGGTCAGCTGCAAATAGGTAAATGAAATCAGCTAAAGCCATAGGACCTCACCAAAGGACCCCACTCAAATGGAGTGTATGAAGATTGGGAGGAACAGTGTTTTTCTAAGGTCTTTGAGAAAGCTAGAAAGCCTTGTTATTCAAGAGATCACCTGTGAGATATGAAGAGTAGAACAACATTACAGATCCTTCCCAAAAAAACATGAATGATATACTTTCATGATTCAAAGTTATGGTCACCAATAGCTTCAAATGCAGCTCTAAATCTGCAAAAACTGTTCCAAAAATTCAAGGGCTAAATAACTTTACAAGAACAATGGCTTAATAGAAATTCAACCCAGTTGAGATGGTGTTTTGTTCTTTTATGAACCTCTAAGTTATTTTAATACCAAACATTAGCAGTTAAGATGAGTCTCATATACCATTAACATGTAAGCAAGGAACACACTTTTCAGCTTTCCCTATCTTAACATCTAAAGATTTGTTACTGTTACTGTTTGTTACTGTTTTATTTACTATTTATGTTTATCTATGTTTCTTTTGGGTGACAAAATAACCAAAAGAAGCTGATAAAGAGAACCTCTGTCTTTTAGATAAATAAACCATCTCTATGCTTTATATCTTTCATTTTCAATGCATTCGCCATCTTTGACAATAAGTTTTATCACAGCTACTTGCTGTCTCATCCTGTAATCATTTGTTTTACAACTGCAATTATTTTTTCAACTGAACAATTTTTTTCATTATCTAAGTTATTTAATTATATTTAAAAGGGTGGTTCTAAAAATTTCAAAATCCTTAATAAATTCCCAAGAATTTGACTCTAAATTTAGCATGACTTCATTCTCATTTAAAGGGAATATTTCAACTTAATTTACAAGCTTGCAAAGCTTCAAAGTTTTTGTATGCCATTTTGATTTGGATGTTGCAATACCTTCTTCTACTGGTGTATGTTCAGATCAAAAGTTAACACTTTAACTTCAAGTCAAAAGAGACAAACCTGTGTCTTTCTAAAACATTGTGATTCTGTCTGTAGGCACTTCTATGACAAATTGAAATGGAAAGATCATACATAAAAAAGCCCTTGATTAACCATGTTATATTTTATTGATCTACCTGTTGTCCTTGAATAAGGAATTAAATTCTTTACAAGTTTGCTGGCTGACTAATTTGTTTAGAAAGAGCTATCAAAAGCAATGTGTTCCTAATAACGCAAAAACAACAAAAATAACCATTATATAACCTATCAGAATCAGAAACAAAACTACAGCAAAGGTAATGAAATAGAATTAAGTGTCACTTTAAATGTGTCACTCCATCTAGGATCCTTATCTTTTAGCTTCCTGTTTCTAAATCTCAAATTCGATTGAATTTCACCTTTTCATTTGCAGAAAGAACCTTTTAAATGAGTTTGTCAAGCATACAATGCAATGAGTGCCAGTACTGTTGAGTCTTACCCCCTTTCCAATACAATGCACAGATCGTTCAGTTTATTTTTCTAGAGGGTTAATATTTTGTTCAAACAAGTGGAAACTGTCCATAAACAACATATAATAATATTTTTGAACATTGGTTTGATTGATATAACCAATTATATTTCATATTGTCTGGTAATGTTTCATTATGCTTTACAAAATTCAATTTCATCAAAAAATTCATAAATTACATTGTTCACTCAGGGATGAATTTATTCATGTCCTTCAGTAAAATGTGCCTCGGTTCTGTAAAAAGCATTTTTCGTTAAGCCATTGTAACAAAATTTGGCCAAAAAATTCACTCTGTTTATCTTCTTATCTTCTTTATCATAAAAATAGAATCTGAATCTTAAAAATGGTCCTTTCCAACCTCTTCCAGTCACCTAAAGTGTGTGGCACAAACATCCAATCAGTATCTAACAACCCCTACCCCCTCAAATCCATTCCATCCATTCCTCCATTCACTTAATCAAACATTGCAGGTTAAAGCAAGCACAGTGCCTTTTGCTGTCTAATAAAAATATGGCATTTTCTTGTGTGTTAAATATTAAACTGAACTCTGAACTTTAACAAGGAGTACTGAGCCCCCAAAGCTCCTTCAAGGACACCCTGAAATCTCTTTGTTGGCAATACAAAATTTGCTTTCAAAATCTGCTAAACAAAATTTGCTGATTGATATAAAATGGTGGCAACGGACATTCTTTTTATAGTGAATAGAGGAGGGTAGGTATTTTCAGGGGCTAAGAGACCCAAGAATGTACTGGACTATCCAAGAGGCAAAATATTGTTCCTAATGAAATGCATTCATATATAACCTGGCCATAAACTTCTCTGGATCCATGTCTGTATTTCGCCAAAGAATATCACAAAAGAATCATAACTTCTCTTTTAGAAGTCATAACTGTGTGTAAACAACTACATTTGTTTGATTTGTTTGGAAGGATTTAGAAACGATCAAGCAACAAACTATCATTTGCTGAGTTTTGTAAAAATATTATCTCTGAGCGGGTTGAAGATCCAATATAGCAAGATCTGAAAGTCAAAAACATTAATTTTACCAGGAAAGGTTGATACATAGAAATCAAGACAAAGGGAAATTTTCGCTTGGAAATTCTAGAATACAAGATGGATTTGAAAGTCCCACCCTTATGGCTGCTTCAATGTGAAACAGACCAGCAGCACCATGATTGCATATTTGGGGCATGGTTGCCACACATGTGCAATGCAATGAAACAATTTACTTTGATTTTTCTTTTGGTGTATCTAAAGCTTGTATGGGGTACCAGATATTCTTTGTGATAGTCTGCATGAAGATTTTAGAAGGCAGTACTTGCTGCAAGGGTTAATTGGGTGATACAGCAACGGATACAGCCACTGCACTTCTATGTCTTTCATGTATTGAAAATAATTGCACTGAGAGAAAATAGGATTGGGTGACACCACAAAAGCAGGACTCAAACCTGTGACCTGCAACCTGTCACATGCAACCTGTGTCTTTGTTTTTAGTTGCTTGACACCATTCACAATTCAAATCCTAGCCAAAAGCTGTGCCACCAATACACATCAACCCCTCTTTACCAAATGTGCAGATGATCATTGGCACCTAATTTGCTATAAAGGAGCACTTCTTGAAAACACATTGTTTTTACCTTAAAGAATCAGTTATGGGGCTACCAGGGTTTCCAGATGACTGATCAGCCATTGCTCTTTGAAATATGACATCACTGCTTTGCCCTCCTAGAAATTAACATTGCAGTTGATATGTAAACCAGAAATATATCTGAAAGATTGAGAAATTTAGGATCTTTGAAGATGGGAAGAGAGGGTGACAAGCCAAGCTGAAATGAGATAATGTAGCTGTGAAATTTTTCAAACCTGGAAACAGGATTGACGTATGATGCATATGTTTCACCTGTGAGCAGTATTGTGAGAAAGACAGAAAAAAATAATATGCTGCAACATGCTAGATGCAAAGACTTATCTTCCTTGCAAACTGCACCAAAAACTGTCTTATGGTTACGTGCACAAAGATTGAGTACACAATGTGCTGAGTTTAAGGCCACACATGTATTTATAAACATGATTAATTAGGGTGTCCCTTTACGTGAAACAAGTGTTATTTTGGTGGCAGTCAAATGGAATATTTTTTTGTTTAAAAATGGAGGATTTTGGTAATTTGCAAACCAAAGGGTCTGAAGGAGAATGCAGGAAGACACTATTGACCTTGCTTTAGTTGTTGACTTCAGTCATTCATAACCAAAATCAAAAACGTCAAAATCTTTTCAATGCACTACAATTATTTTTTCAACCAAATCTTACTTACATTGCTGCAGAGGATCCACCCCATCCACAAGCATTAACACAACAACATTGTCTCAAAGCCTTACACATGACCCAGCCTTTTACAATACAAGTGTTTTCATATACATTGGTCGATGGCAAGGCAACCAAATCTGTCTTGAAATCAGCATTGTAGCATTCATTTAGAAATAGCAATTGCAGGGGTGGACACAGAATAACACTACCCAGCAGGTGGTCTAGGGAGCCTCCCTCATGGTCAGGGGAGAACAATGACTGGGGCCCAGCCAAACCACCCCCCCCCCCCCCCCCGGAACCAGAGCAACTAGGTCTAATTTTAAAGGCAAAAACCCTAAATCTCGCTATGTCGATTATTCCAACCATTATAAAAAAAGAATAATCTTGCCTTTTTTCAAGAAAGTCACCTTGTTTTTTCATCTAGAATATTGTTTCCATGTCTTGTAAGCGTTTACTTTATAACTGCGATTTGTCCTGCTGAGCAAGATTGATCAATGAAACGCCTTAATGGATGCCCTTCTCTTTAGGAGCAGAAGTTGCCTCACCAACAAAGTTCCCAGGTCTTGTAGAAGTTTTGAGGGTGGCGACAGGACTGGGGCCCTGAAACGTTCACATTATTCAGTCAAACACTTTTCCCTTTTAAAGGTTTTCCTAATTTTCCACCAAACCCAACATGCAGTATAAACAAAATATCTTGAGATTCAGAAGTGTGCACTCCCTGTGCACCTCTTCCGTATAGATAAAGAAAATTGGGATTCTTCTCCTTCACAACTTCCAACCTCATCCACTTTCTTCCTTTGCCAGCAGTTGTGCGGCACAGAAATCTAACATAGTGTTTACAGACTTTTTGTGCCCCACAAATATGTGAAAACTTGAATTTTGATTTGTGAGATTTGGTAAAATATTTGCATAACAAAGAGCCCTGCATATTTGTGCGGCACAGGCGACATGCATAAAAATCATACTGTTTACGGTCTAGGATGGTCTTAGAATTTCTTTGATATTGAATTAAGTCGTAGCATTGTGTGTGGGATTGATCAACTTCGGTCCTGTGTTTATTGTGTAAAGAGGGATAAATGTATTATCTGTAAGGAGGGAAATAAAAGATTGTGGTAAACATGATTGCCTTATTTCAATGACTGAAGACTAAAACTAAATTCTGAAAATGTTATGGTCTTCCATGTGACCTGTGTGACACTCTGAATCCGCTTCTGGGCAATTGACTTGTTTACAATGCTCTTATAATGATAGATTCAGAAAAAACGCACACAACGCTTTTTAACTTTTTTGTTTCTATAATTACATCAGATCAGTGAGCAACAGAATTGTTTGCAGAAATGCAGAACGGTAGAAGTGAACATTTCAACATGAATTTCATTGTTTTGCAATACACGATTAAAATTGGGTGTAGTCAGAAAAATATTCCAAAATCGCAAAAGGATTTTTCATTATATAGATCAATTTCAAGTTCAAGACGTCAAACAAAGCACTAGACCAGTGTTTTCAAGCAAACTAAACCGATTTTCAAAAAGCATCAGCTGTGTGCAAACTGTAAATGAAAGTAAATTTCAAGTGCGCACTTGCACACCTTTAATTTTGGTTTCGCACACTCGAGATCTCATTGAAAAAAACTACACTCTACCGACTGCCTGGTCAAGTTAACAATTGTCGAGGCCCGCGCACACCCCCTGTCCGCCCAAAGGAAAGTTTTTGAAAATGATGTTCTCTGCGTAAAAAAATCAATTCAATATGCAATAAATACATTTTTTTATATTTAGCCATGTGTTTATAATCATAAGTCCGAAAAATGAAAGAGTTGTCGCTAAGCAGCATTGGCCTTGCCATGACCCCTCCGGATGCAGCATGGCTAAGAGACCGTCCACGTGCTTAGGCCGTTTGCCCCTAACCAAATCCGTTTTCGTGCAACACCCTTTCGCTCAAGCCTCTACCGCATCATTCCTTCGCCAAATAATCCAAAATTTTCAACAAGAGATCTTGGAGAAATAATGCAAACTTATTTTGCAAACTTTAAAGTTTAACAATCTTTTTAAATGGATAACAGCGAGGGTGTTTTGGTGACGAAAAGTCAATATTTTGAAATGAAATAAAGAAGGTTGACAAGAAATTATCTACCAGCAAAGGTTTTAAATCACCTCTCGCTTTCTCGATCATATTTGCAGCTTCAACCAGATTGTCCAGGGATCTTTTTGTTGCCATTCCTCATGGGCATTTCCCCGAACTTCATTTCAACAATTTCCACTTCCTGTGATGTGGTTGGAAGGGCAAGATCAAACTACTTTCTCGCGTTGTTGTTGTTGCCTCGTCACTAGTGTCAACACGATTCTCCTTCACAGCGCTCAGGCGGCAAAGTATTGATTGGAATATAATGTTTGAATATTTGAACTGCTCTCCAAAATGAAGAAAGGAAAATTTGAAAAAGAATAGATAATATGATGTGGGCAGCTAAGGTGACAAAACAACTGAGGTAACTTCACGAAGCTATGTAGATCAGGCTCTAACTGAGCAAGGTCAAGCTATTTAGACCAAGAGAGGTAGAAATTCACATGTTTACTAGACCAGTTTTTTGAGCAATCAGAATTTCTTGGATCTAATTCTTCTGTCCATCTGTTATCAACCGCCTCGCCAAGCTGACTTTCAGGCTCCAAAGATGACCGCCATGGATATTCCTCGCCTAGTTGTTTTTTATCTCTAAAGCACAACTTCTTCATCTTCCAGTCTTTCACATTTTCAATCTTAGTCTTCCTCTTGCTTGCTCCCCGGCCATCTCAGCCTCTATATTCTTGCTTTTCTTCTCAACTCATGTCAAATAAATCCCCATTTCCTCCTCCTGATAATGTTCAACAGTTGTATTTTCATTCCAATCTTTGCAAAACTTCTTCATTTGTCATTTTTTCAATCCATGAGATCAACGTCATTCTTGTTCAAATCCACATTCTATGGTTTCAAACTTGTTCTCCATATTCTGACTTTCTGTCAATGACTCGCATCTATACACTTTAACAAACGCTTTCTAATATCCAATCATATCTTCCTTGTAATCAAAACATTCCTCACATCCATAAATGCCTTCTTTGACTGACCAATTATGTATTCAATATCCAGATTCGATTTCCCACTGCACGTTATAAAACTGCCTAAATAATCGAATCAACTAACTTGCCCTATTTGCACTCCATTCACCTTCACATAACATTCTCGTGCCCGTCACTTTTTACTGGCAACCATAACATGCATTTTTTTCACGGTTCACAGGCGCGGATCTAGACTGCCGCATAGAATACACAGGCGACAGTCAGAATTTGAAACATGCCTCAGATGAAATTATGTCATTTTCTGTAGTCCTCTTGTGCGTCAGCAAAAATATTTCTGCATCCGCGCCTGTAATTTACTTGAAACCAATTTTCTCGCTTTCTGTTGTTACAATGTCCAACTGTCTTTGTAGCTTTCCCCACTGTCTGTAATCAACGCTCTATCATCTGTGTATCTTAACTTATTAAAGTTAGTTCCTTCCAGATTGTTACTGTCATTTGCTTCTTCACTGAGAGCTTTTTCACTATACAAGTAAAACAAATCTGGTGACAAAACGCAGCCCTGTCGCACTCCTCTTTGTATGTCTACCCATTTACCCAATTCACCCTGCATCCTGATAGCAGCTTTCTGACCATAATGCAAGTTTCTTATCAATCTGAATTTTTTTTCAATCAGTCCCTTACCTTTCTAGCAATTCCATCAGCTGCTCATGTTTCACACAGTCGAATGCTTCCATAGTCGATGTAACATATTCAAGTCCTTTTGCTTTTCGATAGATTTTTCTATAATCGTTATCTGGCACAGAATTGCATTCCTTGCTCTCTTTCCTTTTCAAGGTTTGTATCCAAACTGTTCATGCGTGCGACACCCTTTCCCTGATGGTACTCTTCTTAATACCATTTAACATTACTAGATCTATTGTTCCATGGCGAGGCAATTAAAATTGATTCACGCATTTTATTAGGAATGTCTTCAGAATCATGCACATGATTAGCAATTTCAGTGATCTTGTGAAGCCCGAAATTTTTTAAATCTTCTATCAGCTCAAATGATATCTTTTCATCTCCAACTGCTTTGCCTTTCTTGATCTTCTTCATAACATCTCTAATTTCTTCTTTTGTTATCGGTGACCAAGATATCGTTTTCCTTATTGCTGGTTTTTCTTTCCTATCTATATCTGAATATAGACTTTTGATGTACTCCGTTCACCTTCTCTTAACTCGATCTAGCTCCATTAACACGCTACCATCTTCATCGCTTATACAACTAGACACAATATGTTCCATATTGCTTGTCACTACTTTTATTCATCATTTGAGAATCCCTCTTCTCCAGGCCTTCTATCTCCACACACTGCTGCTCAAAATACTTTTGCTGTTCTACTCGTCTTCCGAACACTTCCAGTCAGCCTTTTATACTCATCCGCAACTTTCTTCTCTATACGCCTCAACTCCATCTGATCAAGAATTTCTGATGCCATCCACTTCTTCTTAGAACAAATGTTGAGCGATGTTCAATGGGGGGGGGGGGGGGTCTCGGGTGGCTGGAGTCCCCAGTTTTTCAAAAATAAAAATTTTTTGACAGTTTTTCAATTTTTTTTCAATTAGAGTATGAAGTAAAATGAGAACTGTATCATTCTGTATCATTCCAACGTCTGCATTTTCGATGTGTGAACATGGCCTACTGAAAATACTTGAGATTCAGACGATGTAAAATTCAGGATGTAAAATTTTCTCAATCAATACATCAGCTTTTTGTTTATCACATCGATGTGCGTAATCAACGTATCTCACATTTTTCATGGTACATGAACTCTTGCACCAAATGGAAAGTTTTGACAGCTTCAAATTTGGGTTTTACTATAAAACACCTCGGGCAAAGCCTTCTTTCTATAACCTATAACTATGTTATTTTTTAAGAAATGCTTTCAGGGCACTTCCACGCTTTGGCATAGATTTTGATTTGGTAATCAAACGAAGACTCCAAAGACTTCGTCCAGCCATCTCTATTATTTGACAAGCTGTCGACATCTAAGCCCACTTCTTCAAATTCATCGACATCAATTAGTTTATTTCATCTTCTGGTGTTGCTCCATTGACAGCACTGTCAGTAGGACCTGTGTCGATGCAAGAGTTTTGAAAAAACTAGGGATGTCCTTTTTCATAAAATCTCCGTTCGTTTCAATATTTCCGTTCATGTTTTCGACACAAATACTTCGATAACCCGGCGAAGCAGTGAGAAACAAAGTGAACAAGATGGATAACAACGGTGCGCGTAACTACAACTACCAGAATGCATTGTATGTGGCAACACCTGTGACGTAATAATGGGATCGGTCTATTGAAATAGGCGTGTTCTGGCGTTCTAAAGGGCACACCCTCAAATTATTTTTGGGGTAAGCCCCAGCCTCCGTTTCAACCCCCCCCTTTTTGGACTGGCTTGCATTAGATGGGGTAAAGCTGTTATTTTAAACTACCCAAGAAAAGAATAAGAAAATTCCATCATAATTTGTACATCATTGGGCGAAGATATTACTTGCCATCCTCGACCAGGTTCTCGTTAGTACCAAAACTCTTTGAAACAATGATTTAAAAATTTAGAGTATGAAGAATTTCAGAGGGTGATGAAAAAAGTACAGATGAAGATCGGGATGACAGGGCCCTGACCCCCCTCATTTTTTGCGATACAAGTACTTTAGAAGCAGTAGTAAAAGAGGTAAGAAGCCTTGGCCCCCAACTTTTTTAGCCTTTTAAATTCGTGGCGCGGGCCCTGGTAGATCCAAAGATACTGGAATAGTACCTTTGGTAGATCGGGTAGATTCGGATTGCTCATAGTAAAATTCGGATTGCTTTTTTCGAATTTCTACCTCTCCTGGTAACACCTTGCTCAATTAGAGCCATTGGCCTTATGCCCCAAAATCCATCAACCACCAGTGACGCCTCTGCTTAACTTTTCATTGCCTAAATGACCCCCATGTTTTCAAGAGACTGTTGATGATATCAATCATTTACAATGAGAAGCAAACAAATTCAAAAGCTTTTCAAAGCATTATCATGGGCTCCGACAAAGGTTGAAAAGTGGGGGGCCAAGGGAAAATTTAACACCCATGACAAAAGATTTTGAAAAAAACTCTATTGTTTTGCAAAAAGGGGGGCAAGGCCCCCCCGGCCCCCCCTTCGTCGTGTAATAGTGCTAGTTTGGATTTCGTTTGTTTTGCATCCTGTAACCTTAGTAATTTTATCACCGTTCGCACATTCGATTGTTTATAATTCCTTTTGTTTTCTAATTGCACCTTTAGATTCATTAACTATTTCTTTTGGGATTGTAAGGATCATTATTCAGTTTATGTAATTAATCATGGGACTAATATATTTTGTATTCACTATTATTATGTAAATTTTCGTAGCTATGTAGCATTACAATAAGTTCTTGTTTAGTTATATTTTGGGCGTGTTACAGATAGAGTTAGTTTTTGAGTTAGTTGGAGTTGGAGTTGAAGTTTGAAATGGAATTCGGTTAAGAGCGATTAGGTTAAGTTTGATATTTTGCATATTTAGGTTCTCGACGCTTTATAAATGTGGCAAGATGCTTGTGAAAGATCTTGTCGACATGAAGTATGGATTTATAGAATACGTATTTTGATTTATGGAATCGCGCGTGATGATTTATTGATTGTGCATTATTATAGTATAGTTTGAATGGGCAGTGCTTGTGAAAGACTGTGCCTGTTAGAGAAACATTGTGAAGTTTATAACCTTTTATCGCGGAAAGATTACATGATCGGAAGATGGACGTTTGAAACATTATGTATTTGTCTCTTCGTCTCAATTCTCATTGAAGGACTAGTTTATATCGACGGTAACGATAGGGTGGATGTATTCATTCGTTTTGACGAAAATAACCCTATTACAGTCGGAAGCCCTGAATATGATTCTCTTTTCAACCAAATATGACTTCAATTGCTGTGGTGGACCCACCCCATCCACAAGCATTAACTCAACAACGTTGCATTCTGTTTCATGATGTAATGTAATGTAATGTATTCATTGCACAGATCCTAAGTATAATATAGGTTTTTCACTGGCAGCAAAATAAATAAAGTCAAAACAATTTATTAAAGTTGGTTAGAATCATTGGCAAGATAAGTGGGGGCGCTTACCCTGGGGCTAACGATGCCCGCAGCACTAACACTGCCCCTCCCGCCTTAATCTCTTTCAGGCGTCCCGGGGGGGGGGGAGGTAAATGCCACGCTCATTTATGCCCCCTTTCCTGTTTAAAACGAAATTGCATTATGGGTACTCAATCCTATTCAACATCGATACCGAACCAAATCTGTGGTAGGAGATAGAATGAAAATTCGGCGAAAACAAATAGCTGGAGAAGATACGTGCAAAAAAGTTGACTCGATAGATCCAAAGGCCAATTGATATTCCGTCTAGAGTGTGCTGTTCGCACTAACAATTTTACAAAGAGCACTACAAACATGTTTGGTTTGTGCATTCCATGAACCTGCGTGACTTTGAAGACGCTGTGCTGTATCTTCAGTACGAGTATGTCATCACCTGAAAGGAAATCGGTTTATCGCAACTTAGTTGGATTTGTATACACAAGACCGCCATGGGTTATCTTTACCATCTTTCTTGGCGTTTTTGCATTTGGATTCTTTGCACTTGGTTACTACGTACAGCATAGCAATATTGTCGATGCAGATTCTTCAAAGGTTCATGTTGATAATTATTTTTGCTAGTTTAAAAAATACAAGGGACAGTTGTCTACAGATAACGGTAATAATTTTGCTTACCAATGACTGTAGACAACTTTACCTTGCATGATTTGACCATCATGGCCTTCTTTGATTGATTTCACAGTCATTTTTCTGCAGGTATCTGCTTGCAAAAGAAGCTGGGGGTAAGAAGATGTCTTGGAGGAAAGTTTGTAAAAAAATGAAAATGTTTTCTTCATTGTCAAAGGAAAACAGCAAAATAATTTTCTTAAATTTTAGAGGATGGAAAAGCAGTATGCAGAGTGTTGGCAATGTCACACTTGTTTTCCCACATCTAAAATGACGGAGACATGGTAGCCCTGAATGAACCCATAAATTAGATCTATTAAATTATATACTGGAGAAGCTGGCATCTTGACTTTGATTTCTGTACACCCACATATGAGGTGCCTGGGCTGCTGGCACACCCAAGATCTTATCAAAATCGACCTTACCCTGCAAACTGGGTAGAAAATATCTGCTTTCCTCTAGTACGTACTTAGGAGTCATATTTTTATGACATCTGCAAAAACTGATCAAAGTTTGAAGGTCAGAGGAAAGGTTGAACACTGGAAATTGTGAAAGTTGCCAAGCCCCATTCACTTGCAAAATAAAGCAATTAAAAGGCATGGAAAATTTCTAATACTAAGTGGAGGTAAATCTAAAAATTTAAGCAAAGTGTTCTAAAATAATATCAAGTTAAGCAAAGTAGACTTCAACTTCCTTAAAAATAGACTTCAGCTACTATATGAAGATGTTTGTTTTTGAGAGACATTTCTCTTAATGGCACCTGTTGTAATGTCGTCATCATTTTTAGCTTCATCAAAATATTCACCTTCTATGGCAAGCAATCAGCAGCATAGTGAGGGGGAGATTGCAGACACCCCCCAATGCTCAGAATCTTGGTTTCTGAGAAAAGTGCAAATCTGCAATAAAATTAGTACCTCAGAGTGGGGAAAAATTGACATTCCAGTAAAATAGAAACTGAAATACTTATACACTTCAATCCTCAAAGAAACTGGATTCTAAAATGCTTGTCAGGATTTTGCAGATTTTGCTCCAAGGAGAACAGACTTAGTTTGAAACTTTTAAATACTGTCTATTATTTTTAATGTTTGCTTATAGTTTTTGAAAATCATTTTTACACATAGAGCTTTCTCACCGTACACAATTCAGAATATAAACATTTGAGGAATTGTGAAGGAAATAGACAGTTGTAGAATGAGGTCAGTCACAAAAAGCTTCGTATGACAGTTATTGTGTTTGATTAGCCAACCATTGCCACATAAAAAAGCCATAGCTTTTCCAAATGCATTTACAAAATGGGGCGTTTTCCCAATTTCTTGAGGGTGTGGCCAGCAGAAGTATTCATGGGGTAAACCCCAGAACCCCTGCTTTCACACTTTCTCATGGCCCCTCCAATCGTCCAACCCTGGCTATGACACTGCAGCCGATGCAGAAATATGAGTAAATAAAAGCAAGTTAATAAAATACGAAAAAGGAAAAGGTTTTGGATTCTGAGCAAGAAGATCTGAGCGTTGTGTTTTACCCAACTGATAGTCTTTGAAAACTTGTCAAACAACCATTTTTCTGTCTTTTCATGCCTACCACAAAAACTGATTTTCCTAGAACTTATTGTGTTAGTTAAAAGAATTCATTCGATCAATTCCTTCTAAGTGCTACATTCTAAGTTTGCTGTTTGTTGAGAAAGTCAATGAAGTAAAGCAGGAAGAGTTGTAAGAAACTGAAATGGCTTCCACACTACCAGCTACAATCAAAAGGAAAGTGTAAATACACTACTGAATCCATCAAATCAAGCATTATATAAACAAACACCTAAAGAATACAGAAATATCTTCATGTCTGTAATCCTGAAAATGTACCCCCCCCCCCAAATCAAGCATTATATAAACAAACACCTAAAGAATACAGAAATATCTTCATGTCTGTAATCCTGAAAATGTACCCCCCCCCCCACAAACCATCTGCAAACATCTGCAGAAGGGGTAAAAAGCATGATATCCCCCTCAAGCAGGGTATCATAAAACTGTGAGCCATAACCTTTTAAAGTAATAGCATTGGATGGAGTACAGTTTGTATGTTCGTGAAAATATTGAACTTTGTGCACAAACACTTAGATACTTAATTGAGTAAATTTGTGTTAAAAACTGATGTCTGAAATTGCCAGGATAGTTTTTATAAAGTTCTTTGATTTTGAGTCATATGCATTTTCTCTTTGAGTATTTGCTGTTATCTTCTCAATATCAACACATTTCTTATTCTTGTAGGGTTGGAATAGCCTGTACTCCAACTTGACATCGTTGGTGTTTTGCTTGAATTCCTCATCTACAGCAGACTTGCCTAGTTCTTTGACAGATGATGAATACAACCAAGACTTTGAATTCATCAATATCTCTTTGCCATTTGTGCTAAGAGTCAGGCCTTATCTTGGGTCCTTTGCAACTAACACAAGTGATTTGGTTGGGCTTTTACCAAACACATATTTCAAATTTGGTAGTAAGTCTCTTCCATTATATATAGTCAAACAGATTTTCTTTAAATAGCTGTTCTTTTAAATCAAAACTGCATTATTCTATAATTTGAATAAAATCTTAATTTTAATAAAATGATATGGAGGAGAAAGATGTGTTTGTAACTCCAAATTTATATATATAAATTCTTCCTTTGAGCTCACCACATTTTTATAACATTTAATTTTTTATTAAAGTTGAATATGGTCTGCTTAAAATTTTCTTTACAAGTATTTTTTGTAAGGGTATGCCCCCCTCTACCAATCTTCCAAAATGCATGGCACAATCAGGCTAACAAGCTAACAACCTTTTCAGGAGGCATTTTCTGTGCTTTCCCTTGGCCTTGGTTATTGATTATTCTTTGTCAGTTGATTAGGACTCTTTCTAAAATAGTGCATTCCTCTGGGTCATGTGGTAACGTATGTTGTGGATTTTTCTTAAACATTTGCTGCCCCAAAATTAAATGTTCTCTAAAAAACTGCCAATTGCTTATGTGTATGTAAAATTTTGGAATAACATGCAGATATTGTTGTTTTCTACTGTATTGTGAATTCTCTTTAAGGGAAGTTTCAACATGAAAGTCAATTTTGGATTTCATTGGATTCCAGTTACTTATTCGGTAAAAGTATAGATATGATCAAATTTTCAATTTGCTTATCACTAAATCAAATGAGAATAACACATCCGTCCATAGAAAAAGGAATCCACACGGGCACAGGGGGAATGTACCTGCTTTTTAGAAACAGGTGTAAAGTACCTATTTTTAGCTCACAAAGGGGCTCCTGTTTGCATACATGCACCCTCATGCTTTCTACATTATGCTCCTGTCACACAAACATGTACATGCCTCTATTTGGTCACGTTTTAATACACAATTGTTGTCATATGATGTTTCCTTCTCTCCATCTATATCTAGGGGTGTGAAATGTAACTAGAACTTGAAAGGGTATTTGCAATTTGTATGTTAAAAGAACGATGTGTAAACAACTTGGTTGATGTTGAAAAATTGGACAATAAGGCATGCAGCAGCCCATGCATTATTATATTACCAATTTTTGGAAAACTGATGAGGCCAGATTCCATTGAAACCTGCATATAGGCCCAATCCCCCCCATTTTGCTTCTGATAGTATTGAGCACCAAATGTGTGGTGTCAATCTTTCTCTAAGGTGATTCAGGCATGCTTGAAAATGAGTTTGATTTTGTTATCAGCAAAATGAATTTCATTTGTTTCTCATGTACTTTGTTGTGTGAAATAAGAACAGAATGATTTTTAACACTTATAGTGTCATATCTTGATTTGCCTTAATAAAACACATTGTTTTTCTTTCAATTTACTACTGCTATATTGTTGACCTATGTCTTTTCATATATTTCATGTTTCTGGTTTTACTTTTGCAAACTTTGCCAAGGGCCTTATCAACACCAATTTGTCTTTAAGTGAAGATGCAACAGTTTATTGCATTTTTTATTTCTCATCTATATGAAAAGAGCCAATCTGAGATCTAAAATGCCAGGATTGAAAAGGCCTTGAAGTGTGGAATCATTTAAAAACAAATGGTTTTTATGCATTCCTCATAGAATATATTTGTCTTCATTAAGATTAAATGCTGATAAATGTATCCTTAAGAAACAAAAACCTATATAGAAACTTTTTCCTGATTTTGCAAGCCTCTTATTAATGATTTGACCTCTGTAATGGGGCAGCTTACATGTAGGTTTTTAGTTGTAAAAGGCAGATTCCAATCTGTGCAAAACATCAATGTGTTTTCATTCAAGCAGGGCAGACTTTGCACTCATTTCTTACTGCTATAATGAATGATAAGAATTTTAATTTTCCACTGACTTGTTTTTAAGAACAATTTGAAATAATTTGTTTGTATTTCTCCCAAACAGGACACTGTGTTTTGGATGAAGATGAGGGTAGCACAAGGTGCCAGGAAGTCACATACCCTGCATGTGTCACAATATCCCTGCCAAGTGTTATAACACCTCTCATGTGAGTAAAATTCCCAAAGATATTGTTTTTATACAAGGGAACAATGGTTTTAAAGCACAAAAGTTTCAAGGTGATGTGACCACACCTACTTAGGAGCTCCTTTGGTTGGTATGATAAATGACCAGTGATTCTATTTTGCACATCATTAAAAAACAAAATGACATATTGTGATGACAATGTTTTTGATTTTATTTATAAAATCGCCCCAGGTCATTTTTTCTGCCTGAAATGCAGTATTTGTTTGTTTCTGGATGTCTCAAAGGCAACTGTCATAGCTCATTCTTTTGGCTCCAAATTTCTGTTGCTGTTCAAATTATTGCATTGAGATCAAGTTTACAACAATATTGACTTCATTGAATACTAACCTACAAATCAATACCAATAATACATGTTATTATAATGAATTTTTTATTGTATGAATATGCTGGAAACTTTCAAGAAAAGCATGCATTACTTTTCCATGATTAAGGGAGAAGTTATGAAATCTGAATGTACAAAAAAAGAAATTGCAGGTTTTCCAAACTTGAAATATTTTTTGTTTATTCAGATTTCATTCTCCTTTCCTTTCATCAACTTTTCAAAAGTATGAACTCTCTTGGTTTCTCTGCAACCTTATTTTTAAATGCTGAGAAAAGAAAAGATATATTTTTCTTTTGATGTTTTTTCCTTAGGAGACCAAGAAGTTGTAACAACACTATTAACTCAGCTGTTCCTTCAATAGCAGTAGCAGTTGGTAAAAAGAACACGAATGACCGTGATAAAAGGCAAGATGAGTCAGAGAAGTCAATCTGTCATGGGCAGATTGAAGTATCCCTTTCAAAAGAAAGGACATATGATTCTCAAGTGATGCTGAGCCTTGTGAGTTTTTTATTTGAGTAATAAAATGTTTCTTCGTTTTTGTGCTGTGTATAGCTTTGAGACAGCTTTATTTCTGTCACTGGACTTTTGTACTAGAACAAATTTCACATCGCTCTATGTAGTGAAAAACCAATGTTATTTGTTCTGTTGTGTATGCTTGTTGTTGTAAGGTGTTTTTGCAAGAGGCTGAGTGTTGTATATAGAACTACTAATCTTGTGAAGATGGATTTAGAACAAACTGGCTTCAAATGCTTGTAGTTTAGGGAGGCTTGTTTGGCAAAGGGGTCATCCTATTGAGACAAAGGGGTCATCCTATTGCTCATAAGAGGAAGAAAATTCATGCCACACTGAATTCGTCAATTTTATTCTTTTGTTTTGCAGGCTGAGAAGACCCGTCTTAATCTAAAACTTCAGCTAGCAAGCTACTTTCTCTTTGTCATCTTTTTGTCTTTTGTTCTTTTTGCTGCCATCAGAGGGAAACCTGTGAAACAACTAAAAAAGGTTAGCTCCATTAATTTTTTATCTGTTGTTTTAAAAGAGGTGCCATTGACACGCCAGTAGGCAAACAGGGGAAAAAATGCAAGCTGCATAGAAAGACTCTGTTTGTGGAGACAGTTCTTAAGATTAGCTGATTACTTGGTTTATGTTCTTCACATAGTTTGCACAATTATTTAACTAATGTTACTTCTTATCAATGCCTGCCAAACTGGACTTCTCAAATTTCTTCATTTTTTAGATCATCAGCTGACCTCATACTTACAATGATGGGGCTTTCCTTGGATTCATATGCCATTGCAGGCTGCTTGCTCTTTGTTTTTAACATTCCAAAAATTGAAATTTATGTTTGTGTGAGGTACACTTCAAGGCAGAAGCTGGGTGGAAGAGACTAATGATAACTTATGTTGATATGATTTCTCATAAGTAGTAATTGCCTTGTTTAATCAGTTGTTGTGGAACTTAGTAAGGTCCAGCTCGAATATGTTTTAGTTTCAGAAACTGAAGTATTTAAGTTTCATGATGCTGGAGTAATTGAGAACTCAAGTTTAATTTTTTTACATTTATTGCAACGTTTGCAACTTGCTAATCATTTATTAAATGAAACATTTTGATAGACATGATTGTCAGTTTAAACAAAAATGGCTATGAAGACTGGTGTTGCCTGTCTGAAGCCCGAGTTGTGCAACATCAAATTAATAATTATGTGGTAAAGCTACTAATTTCACTTAAAGGTATGAGGTTGTACGGAGCCCCTGAAAGTAGACTGAGGTTTTTAAAACAAAGCCTGTTCACTGCAAAAGATATTTAGTTTTTTCTCGATTTTATTACGGAATAGAATGCTCGTGTTGTTAATATATTTGTAAAACGTCTAAGGCGTAGGTTATGAAATGAAAAAGCTTAATTATGATCTCCTGATCCTTACATATGTTGTATCTAAGCTAACGGAAACAAACTTAGATTTCTTCACCCACCCTTTAAATTGCCACTCCAAAGTACACTAAAAGCTATATAATTCACCCCCTTCAGCATGTCTCTCTGATGCGAGCCCTGTGTTAGGTTGCCCGGTGTAAAATACTGCCAAATTGAAACATATTATGAGACAATTTTCATACTTGAGTTGAGTCACAAATCATTTCAATTACCTTTGATAACGATTCTTAGATATCATGTTGTTGGTGATAATGTCTAAGCTGATAATTACACTGGATTGAGAACTTTGACAACTTAGCTTTAATAAAAGCGTTATTGCTAATGTGTACGACATTTGTCTGTACGTTTTTGCAGAAACTTAGTTTAAAGACGCTTTGTATAGATGTGCAAGCACGAGGGCTAGTGAGACTTAATCGATTAAAAATGTCTTGCAATATAATTCTTGTCTCTGTCTTTTCTCATGTTTTTTGGTGTTTCTAATATTTGCTACAATAAACTATATAATGTATCAACTAGAACTGCCTTCGTTGTCCATATTTTTATATTTTTGATCCATTAACATCCCAATCATGAATGTTGAAGGTGCTATGATAGTTAATGGAATGCTAGTAGACACAAGGACCAAACAAGTGGCTAATTTGGGGGTCGTGGAAGGATGAAAATTTCAACTTTTCGTAAGATGAAATACTCTCCTTTGATCAAATACTTTTGCTGCAGCTTCTGCAATGTTTTCTGGCTTCTCAGCAGCTTTATTACAGCAATTTATGATCAAGAGTTACGGATGTTATAGGCAAACCTAAAGATGTTGATGAAAATGTGACAACAAATCCAACTGTTATAGCAAATACCTTCAATGATTTTTTGCAAATATAAGCAAAAATGTCACACACAAAACACCTAGGACAATGAAATCACTCATGGACTATCTTGGAAGTAGCAATGAACATTATTTTTTCATCACCCCCAGCAATTCCAATGGAAATATCTGACATGATAAGCTTGTTAAAAACTGGCAAATCTATTGGTCCTAATAGTGTCCCTACAAAGGTTTTGAAGATCCTCTCTCCCCATATATCAACTCCTCTCTCTCAGATAATTAATGAGTCCTTCCAGTCCGGTACTTTCCCTACAAAATGCAGCTGACTAATTCCTTTATTCAAAAAAGGCTGGCCCCTTAACTCCTCCAATCATAGGCCAACATCTCTTTTGTCTAAATTTAGTAAAATTACTGAGAAAATTATGTATAAACGTCTTAATGATTTTTTGGAACTACACAATGTCCTGTACAGCCTTCAGTTTGGTTTTCGTGCTTGTCACTCAATAAATAATGCACTGATAAGTTTAACAGAATCAGTAAAAATTTCTTTAGACAATAAAAAGTTTGGGTGTCGCATTTTTATTGATTTACAATAGGCATTTGACACTGTTTATCATCAAATCCTTACTAAAAAACTTGAGCACTATGGTATTAGAGGGACGGCATTGTCTTGGTTTTGCTCTTATCTTAGCAACAGGGAACAGTGTGTTTCTGTTAACGGCTATAATTCCTGTAATCAAAGAGTTACATGTGGGGTCCCACATGGATCTGTTCTTGGCCCACTCCTTTTTCTCATTTATATCAATGATATTTCCAAGGCTTCATCCAAATTATATTTTTATCTTTTTGCTGATGATACCAACATTTATTATGAGTCAGGAAATTTAGAGCAACTTCAAAAGGTTGTTAACAACGAACTGAAGTATGTAAAGAAGTGGCTTGATGCAAACAAGCTTGCATTGAATGTTGCTAAAACTAGCTTTATTATTTTTCATTCACCACAAAAGCCCCTAAATGCCACTGTTGACATAATATTTGGTAAGCAACATGCTAGGAAGGCAAAATATGTTAAACTTCTCGGTCTTCTCCTTGACGAAAATATTTCTTGGAAGCATCATTTAAATGAACCTGTGGTATATTTTTTTAAGTTGAGACATCTGCTTCCCATAAATGTGTTGGTTTCCTTGTATAACTCCTTATTTGCTTTTCTCCGAATATAGAATTGTTATTTGGGGTCTTACTTGTGACTCATAGATTAAACCGATTTTTATCCTACAAAAGAAAGATGTAAGAGCTATTGCCTTCGAAAATCGTTTTGCTCCATCTTCTCCTATTTTTACACTCTCCAACTTCTTAAGCTGCAGGATCTATTTGAATTGAAAATGTTGACTTTTGTTTACGAATCTGCAAATAAGATCTCCCCTTCTTGTTTTTATGAGTTTTTTTATTTACTTTCCAATGTTCATCAACATGGTACCAGACAGGCCTGTAAAGGTGACATTTTTCTGACGCGTAAAAGCACTGCAATGTTGCTTAAAATCTTTCAAGTATGCAGGTGCAAGATCTTGGAACGGCATCCCCACCTTGATCAAACAAGCCAATTCTGTAATTTCTTCCGTCGACAAGTTAAACTGCATTTGTTTTTCATCAACTATCAATCGTAAGATCTTTAAAGTAATATTTGACGCTTACAAACAACAGGGGGGCTTAGCATTTTCTAGCATTGAGAAGCCTTGAGAATTTTCTAGTACTAAAAGATTCTTAATTTTTTATTGAATTTCTTAAAAACTCTTATTTTTAAAAAATACCAACTTTATTTTTTTCTGATCAATACTGGGTACTATCATTTCCAAAACTGTAGGCTCTTTACTGATTTTCTTTGGCCTAGTCACAGACTATGACAGATTTCAGATATGACGTCATATCGGAAAACAGTACTTCGTATGTGCGCGCGCATCTGCAGCTAAATTGTCCTAAAGGTCGAGAAGGAAAACAGAAAGCGTAAATTTATTGTGAAACTGTGCGAAGTGCAGGAGTAAAAAGAGTGTTACCGAAGCATATCAAGAAAGATGGGTTGTGTCGCCAGCCTGGCGTGCTGCTTTACATCTGCAGCTTGCAGCTTATGCTGCAGTTGCTGTCCTTCGTGCAGAAACTCGACTGCAGCAAGAATGGGGTATTCGCTCCTTCTGTTTGTGTTCACTGTCGTATCCTGTATCATGCTTTCGCCTGGTATCGACAAGAAGCTTGCTAAAATAGACTGGTTTTGCGACAAGGTATGATCTAGCTAACTCAATCTTTCTCTTAGTATACGAAACCTTTTCCTGCAGATGAGAAGCAAAACTGCTTTTCTGTTCAAGCGATATTAGAAAAAAAAGTCGAGGAATGATTTGGATGTCCCACTGCGGCCTATTAGCCACTCATGGAAATCAACTAATCAAATAATAAAGAAAAAATTGAAACAGGGTCATATTTTCTAGACTAATGTTAATCAGTGTTTCATATTTCTGCATACTAAAATATATTATATATACTTCTTCAAAAATGTTTTTGAAAGGAGTAAACATTTTAGAACATAATAATAAAACCAAAAAAACTTCAATTATCAAGATGGAAAATGTAAACCAGAATCAGAATTGAAATTATCTTCGTACTCCAAAACACGAACTCCAAGTAAGACAAGATGACAATAAGGGCAAGTTAGTGACATGTAAAGCATGGATGAAAGGGAATTTTCAAATGAAGGAAAATAATTTAATCAAAGTCCTATCATCGGCCCATTTCCTGCTGATGATCAACTTTCAACTTGTACCATTAACGATATAGTTCAGGCTTACAACTTGTACCAAAATTATGTGTTATCAGGGACAGCTTGCAATAAAAATATACTGTAACAGTTATTAGTCACCAACCAGCAGAGCATATTTCAAAAATGAGGGACAGATTATGAAAAAAATTAGCCTATAAATCAAGGGTATAGATAGCATTTACATGATTCTATAATATCTAAACATTTGAAAATGTCTAAACAATGAAAAGCATCTTATGCCTTGCAGTAACAAAATTCCTTCCGCTACTTTATGTATATGAAAAATTTTTTCTTCTGGAGGTACTAAACAGCCAACTCACCATTACCATATATTTGAACCATCTCTTTCTGTCCAAATGAAGTTGCAGACACAAACTGTCTTTTGAACAGTATAGGGTATCTTAAAATCTTCCTACTGTTACTTTTTTGTACTTTTACCTTCTGTTAATTTCTGTATTTTAAAATATTTGTAGCTGTTTTAGAGTTATTCACTCTTCAGTTTATAAAAAAATGTTGTCATACAATATAAGGGTAGTCATTTCCCCAAAACTGTGGAATTCCACAATGGTTTCAGTGCTGTGTACCATGTGGCTCTGGCCTTCTAAAGTTTATGAGGCTTGATTTTCCACATTTCATCTTGGCATGTGCTGTTGTCCTATGTGTTTCCCCTTGTTCTTTTTTCTTAATTTCTTTTTTCCTCTACATCAACATAACTTCTTCATGAAGTAGTTGATTAATTGTGTAGAAGTAGAAGTTTCCAAAGGCAGTTATTCCAAAAAGTTTGACACGAAAAACAAGATTACTTAATTTTCATGCCTCAGAATTGGCAAATACAAAAGGGTGATACTTGTGACATATGGTATTATGATAAATTGATTAAGATATTGTTTTGAAGGCTTAAGTACATTTCTTGCAAATATTAACACTATAATGGTTTCAAGTGCTCTCAAATATTTCAGCCAATCTTTGAATATTGCTATTTAAAGATTCTTGACAGCCCTGAAAAATTATATTGTTTAACAAAGGCTTGCACAGATTGTTGAGGAATTTCAACTTTTCCTATAATAAAGCTGTTTGTTAATATGTGCAAGGCATACTGACCTTTGTTAACCTTTCTATCTAATGTTACCCCTTGTTTCATTAAGAACGTTTTTCAGATAAAGTTTGATTTACACAGTATCAGATCATTTGATATTTGTCATAGTTGTGGTATTAAAGTAATAATTCTAAAGTTTTTCACATCTGTTAACATGCATCCTTCTGTTACTTTATTCTATTCCTTCCGTAACTTTAGATGCATGCTACAAACACTTTACTGGTAACTTTCTTTGTGGCTGACATTGGAATTTTGCCACTGATTTAAAAAGAAGGAGTAGCATATTTCATAAACAGTCTAACAGTGGCTATGCTGCAGCATTGAGATAAAATTTTCAATCTCCCATAAAGATTTTATTCTAGGAAATCTATCCCTCCTTCCGTTACCAAATAAATAACCTTTATCCAATTCAAATGACATTAACCTTTTTGCTTCAAAATTTGCCCACTTGTATATTTGTACCTTATGTATATTATCAAAAAGTTTTGTTGTTATTCCTTGCTTTACAGCATTTTTATGACATTAAACATCTATCAGATTCCTTCTGTTACTTCATTTAGCCTTTTGAAATATCCCAAGCAGCAGAAATTTCAGCTACCCCACGTTATTAGAAGTTATTTCCCTGCTAATTCCTATAGCTATGGAAAATTACTGTTATTGGACCAATAACACTTTTTTGATGTGGAATAAATTTCCCAAATTTTATATTGGCCTTCATACGATGGTATTTACATCGTAGAAGAAAAATTTATATATCGAAAGGATGTAAAGGTCTTCAACAGCAACAAAAAAGAGGGACAGTTTTACACAATTCCAAACTATAAAGAGCTTAGACAAGAGTATGTTGCATATAGTAGTCAGTATGGATTGAAATATCAAGCTTCATCATGTAAAATCTAATTTAGCTAAAAGATTTAATCATGTTTCTTTTATGTTAAAACCTATTTTAGAACCTAGGCAAGCAATCTAGGCAGAGTGAAAATTGATAGCATCTTCATTTTAAATTTGAAAACAAACAGATGTAAATGCTCCTCCATTACGGACAAACAAAGAAAAGGTTTTCATTAACAGCCCCATAAACTCATTTAAAGGTTATGAAAAATTTGTTTTCAATCATGTTTCTTATAACACTGTAAGCAGCCCTTGGGTATGTCACCACAAAAATATTTAGTGAAAAATGTGGTAATCAGTGAGAGCCATGAACAATCCCAGGCAGGATTCAAGTTTGGGAGAGGGTAACAGTTGGAAAAATATATGCATGCTATCTGGCAGGTCTCTCCAGCTGAATACATGTATACAGATTTTGACACAAATAAATACCAAAACTGGTAAAACTGCACACATGCAGTATGTATAGTTTGTTTCAACTCCTTGCATGAGATCTTTCCAGGACTGCTGTATTTTCCAGACCAGTCACTTAAGGAAAAAGATTTGAATTTCAGGACAAGCACAAGATATAATTACTACCCAAGACAGGACCATGGTTGCCATGGAAAGAAAAGGGAAATTTTTGAATTTTGTTGCTTACAGTTTGCAGGCAAATGCACTTGTTTAACCAATTTTTACAAAAGAAATTTCCCTAATTGAACTAAAAAATTCATTTTGTTTTTGCATGCAAATTGTCTTAAAAGTACAATTTTGCTGTGTTACTTCTCAAGCCAGGTAACAATCAGCACTAGTTGTCAATTTAGATCTTCTTTCCATCTTAGAATTCAGTTTGCATTAAAAATAAAACTGGTGCTCTTTGTGAATTTCAGTTTACGCTTCTTCTGAGAAACTGGGGAAAAATTGACACCTTTACACGAGAAATGCCTGGTTTTTTGGATTAAGTGCCAACAAGAAATCTTGAAATCATTAATGCTTCTTTTTTACCTTTAAGGAAATATCGTATATTGATCATATATCGAAATAAGGATCATATCGTATTTTCTCTTGTATTCCTGCTTTGGGGTTATCAATTAAACCTCCTAATTTAATTCAAGATTATATGAGTGGTGGGAATATCAGAGTGGCGGATTTAATTTTCCAACATGCTTTTAGACAGCAGGCTGAAATTTTCAACATGTTTCTCTGTGTTTTGGCGTGGAAACTTAACACATAAGTTGCACAAAGGGTTCACAAAAGTTGATTGGCTGAACTGTTTATTCATAATCCCCAAGGTATTTCATAAGTGGTATTTCCTTTTTGTGGCACACAAGGCAGTACATCTTGATGAAACCTATAGTGATACTGAAACAGTTCTTTAGGTGATAACGACTTATAAATATCTCTCCTGTTGCTGTTGATTTCGTATAAAGCACTCCTCTCAATGATGCTTTCAAGAAAATGCTATTTGGAGGTGTGAAAAAAGCATATTCAGTTTCTTAGGAGCTCTTTTTAAGAGTCACAGTAAAGCTGTAACTTTTGACACCCATCATCAGATGATTTGGATCCTAAAGATTTACAGTATTTAGGTACATGTGATGTAGTACAGCTGTTTAAAATTTTTAGCTTGAAATTTCATTGAAACATACAAACTTAGAGAATACTCGGCTTTTCAGGCACAGTCACCAAAATAGATCATGTATTAGTCTTTGCAAAAATAAATACAAGAACCATTTTCAAAAAGTACAGCAAAAAATAGCTTGAAATGCAGGCCCTGAAATGAGAGGCACTCAATCAAGCAGGAGCGCTTCCTCACTAGCCTCAGAAAACTTACAGGCTTGATTGTTTGAGCACCTAGCTGATTATTACATAATTTCTCTCAGTGATTGGTGAATTTACTTAAGATGAATTTTTAGGCAATGCTTTTAGGCAAGAAGGAGGGTTACGCTGATTGTCCAAGCAAAATGATCCAAGTGAAGAAGGAACACAGAAGAACAGATTATTTGACCTTCATAACAATAGTCTAACAGAATCAAAAAAGAGATATAAACTAGATATTAACAGATCTTTAAAACCTAAGAACTTGAAAACCTGTTTCTTTTTATTTGTTTTCCTCTTTTTTGATAACTCTGTGATAAGACATAAAGAATGAAAAATGTCTTATCAATTTATTTTTATACTTTAATTACAAAATAATCTTTCTTTACTGATCTCAGCTTTTTTTACAGTTTTAATGAAACTAGATGAGTCTTAGGGCCACCTCTCAACTCTGTCCATTGACATAATGGGTGTTGTGTAAGGTTATATCAATTCTAATTTGTAGCATTTAGCATAAGTGAATTTAAATTCTTCTGTAGTTACATGGAAATTTTTAAAATCTTGAATTATCTTCACTTTGTGTTGAAAAGTTCAAAATGGTAGCCATTATAAAAAGGGATAAATTGTTTTATGAGAACACCAGTAGAATATGTACTGAAGAAGGATGCCACTGCTAACGTAAAGTATTCTTCTTTCTTTCACAGGCAAATGTTGATTGCCATCAAATTGTTGGCTATTTAGCTGTCTACAGAGTGATGTTTGCAGTTGCCTGCTTCTTTGTATTGTTTACACTCATTATGATTGGAGTTAAGAGCAGTAAAGATGGACGTGCTGGTGTTCAAAATGGATTTTGGGGAATAAAGCTCCTACTCATTATTGGTGGCGTGGTTGGTGCTTTTTTCATTCCTGCTGCAAACACATTTTCAACAGGTAAGTTAAGAAAAAATTTCTTGCTAATTATTAAAATCTTTTGGTTGAAGGGCATATTGCGCTATTTGTTGATAATATTACAAGCAATGCAACACATTAATTAGGCACTTTACCAGTTTCTCTAAGTCTAATGATAAATACATGTTGCACAGTTTATACAAATCAAATATAAAACACAGTTGTATATAATGACATAATGGTATAGAAGTAGAATACCAATATTTAAATTAGAGTTTCTGGGCATCAGGGCATTCTCAGACTAGTTTTTCAGAATAGAGTTGTCAAGTGTTGACACCACAAAAATCTATTTTTAGAGTTTTTGAATTTTGTCCAGATGAGCACAAGCTCTGAACCCCATCAAACCTCGTCTGTTATTTGGTCTCAGTTCATAACTTTATGAACTGAGCCAAATTAACAGTAATCCCTTAGCAAACTCCAGATCTTTTATTGGCCATTGCTCACCTGATTTTTGACAAATTTAACTGATTTTGCAAAAAAGGGAGTTTTTATGGTGTTCTCTTGTATTATGTGGTCAAAATTCGAAAATTCTGAAAATAAAATTTTTTTGCAACGTCACACTTGAGAACTTTATTATTTTCAATAAAGGACCAAATTTGGAAATGTCAGTAAAAGGGTTTCTTTCCTCGTAGCAAATGTAAAACAAGCTTTGTAGATTATTGATGTACTTGTAGGTATATTTGCAAAAGAATGACAAAATAGTCCTTGAAACTACCAATTAACATGGGCCTAAAAAGAAAGAGCATCATAAATACAAGGAAACTTTGAATATCCCTGCCATCAAAAGCTTCTCTGGGGAAAAGTTGTTTGAAAATATGTTGATTAGAAGCCAATGTGGATGTGGGGTAGCTTTACTTTTTTAAAAAGAGAAACCAAAACCCTTTTGAATGCTTATAGTATTTCCTTTTCATAGTTGATATATATGCTTGAAATGCAATCACTTCTAATGAACTAAGCCCTGAGCTCATAGTCAAGAAAGGTTTAGGTTATTTGCAATTAGCTTTGCAGTGGAAAGATATTTTTACTTAAATGCAGCTAATGGTTTTTAAGCATATATACTGAAAATTAATAATGAATAAGGTATCTTGAAGAATCTTTTTTTCATGCAATAACTTTGCCAGCTTTAAAGCTCTGCTAAGAATTGTGTGAATATTCTGTGTAGCATGCAGATTGCAAATCTTTTGTCTATTTGGGTGTGCTAGGCCAGGCATAGCTCTCCTTAGTATGCACAAGATACATGTTTTTTACTTGTTTTGGTGATTTTTTGCAGCCTGGATGTACATTGGTCTCATTGGTGGATTCTTGTTCATCATTATCCAGCTTGTACTTCTGATTGACTTTGCTCATGCTTGGAATGAAACCTGGGTTGAAAACATGGAGGAGAGTGACTCAAAATGCTGGCAGGTCCTTTTACTGGGCAGCACATTCATCATGTATGCAGCCACAATTACGGGCATAGCACTGCTCTTTGTGTTTTTCACAAAAGCAAGTGACAGTAGCTGTGCTACGCAGAAATTTGTCATCAGCTTCCATTTGATTTTATGCATCATTGTTTCTATATTAGCAATTCTCCCCCAAGTCCAGGAGAGACAGCCAAGATCAGGTTTGCATTTTATCTATGTAACAATATTAAGGCTTTTATTAAGACCTAAGAAATTACCAAGACTTATTTATAACTAGTTTTCAGGAAACATGGCGATTAGAATTTGTATTGTTTAGCAGTTAGAATTTTTATTTCATTAGCCAACTATTTTGAAGTCATAAATACCGGGGTGTAAAAGGATCTTAGTTTTCTAGCATTTTTCTCTTTTCTTTTTAAGGCATAATAATAAATTTTTCTTAGCTTCGTGCTTGTTGAGGATAAATGTTCTAAAGAATATTATGGTTTAATAAAAAGCTATTTCAAAGAATTTTGGTATTTGCCAGTTTACGCTTCTATGAAATATATTAAACGGAAGAAATTTGATGTACCGTCTATTATAGTAAAAATTTTTATAAAGGAAGGACTTTTTAATGAGCGAAAGGTGCAAAGAAATGTTTCCTTAGGATGGACATGGCAGTAAATCAGGCATCCACGTACATCAATTGTTGTAAAATCTTGCAGTTGAAAGAGGACTGAGGAAATCGACCGTTATTATGTATCAGAAAGGAAATGACGACACGTCAAGTTGAATTTTCAGGAATGACTTTGACGGAGAGATGCAGCAAGGAAACGAAAAGCTCTTTTATCTTGAGTTCCGTTATAGACTTGAGAAATAGAAAATTATAATGAGAGACAAGGTAGCTCCAGATTGATTGTCGCTAAGATTTTACCAGCAAACTTCGATTGCTCTTGTTTTCTCTTTGCTTGATATGCATTCATTTATTTTTTCAAAGGTTTATTGCAAGCTTCAGTGATATCGCTTTACACTACGTACCTTGCTTGGAGTGCCCTGTCATACCAACCAGGTAAGCAATTGATTTTTGTTTCAAGCTCGTATCTAACTCAATTTTATACAACTTTAAAGTGAAAAATTGTAAAGATTGATAATTAGTTCAATTTTGTACATAATCTACATTTTTAACAATGCATTTTGTGAGTTTTGCCTGTTCTGGGTAACCTTGCTTTGCGATTGTGTTTTGAAATGAAGATAATTTGCTGAAGAAACTATAAAGAATCGATTTCTGATTTCTCAAGGCACATGCAACTCTATCCGTGGCGAAATTCTGGCAGCATCCGGTAGTATATCGCCAAACTTCGATGCCCAGTCAATCATTGGCCTTATAATCACCTTCATTGTTGTCATGTTTTCTTGCATTCGAACAACAAGCTCATCTCAAATCGGAAAACTTGGGCTTAGTGGAGGAGCTTCTTCTGCAGCAACGGAATCCACGATTTTGTCCGACTCAAAAACAAGTACATCGAAGGAAGACAATCTCGAAGAAGCTGGTTCTGGTAGGTATCCTTTACACCATTCCATAGTATTTCACCCGTGTATTATGTTATTTTCAATGTCGTTCGTAGTTTAAGCTTTGTTAAAAAAAATATTTATAATTTTTTATAATACTATGACCTGCAGCTTGTTAATCTGATGATTTTTTTTATTTATCTGGAGTTTTACCTTTCTGTTATTTCACAAGCATGAATGATGACTTAAACTGACTTTAAGCTCCCAACGTCCCCTTTTCAAACAAATTTTTTATTTTCTGTAAATAAAAGAATTTGATAAAAATATTGATGTTGAATTTTTTCCCAAAATCAAAAACTTAAAATATTAATTTTGAATTTATGGCTGCCTCAAGGCAGAACTTTTGATCATAATGAATTGGCAAAGTCACTGAACGTTAGCTAATGAATTGTAAAACATCAACAATTTAGGATTTTTCAATAAATAATTGTCATAAATATTTTCATAAGGAAATTTATATGGAAAGTTCTCGCAAATCTCAAATCAATTTTTGTTTTGCTATAAAGAAGGAATAGAAATGGTTGAAGCAGTTATTTATGGTTATAAGATTTTAAAATGAATAATTTCTGCCTATATGTCTTGAAAAAGTTGACGAATCCCAAGGAATTTGTATCAAGTATACATTTTCTTAAAACGTGATGACGCCAGATCACTATAGTGCGCTTTATAAAAACCTTTTATGAGGTAGGAAAAGGCCGAATAAGTTTTGGAATTTTACTGGGAGTAAAATAAAATAATAATACATATAATATAAAAATGGATGATATTAGTAATTTAATAATGATATAAGGAATCTTTATACAGGATGAGAATTTTCACCATGTATCCTGTAGAGGAAAAGAGAAATTTAAAAACCTTTAAAAACTCAGCGAAAAACCTAGCAGAAATGACAATGACAATTTCAAGTTCCGAACAAGTAAACATTTGATGTGTTTAATTGATTTATAAAAATAAACAAATAAATGAGTAATGTGTGCTGATGTGTACCCTGGGTGCCAGAGCCTCACAGAGTCAAAGGATGAAGAACGGGGGAAGAAATTGCGAAGGAGAATGGATGAATTCCTCTTCCATTCTCCTCCGCATTTCCTTTCCTCCGTTCTTCATCCTTTGACTCTCTGAGGCTCTGGCACCCAGGGTAGCTGATGTGCTGCTCTTTGTTGTTACGAAATCACGACTCAGTTCACTAAAATTGTCTTTTTTTATTATCGATATTAGTTAAAGCATTAAACAGTTGTTTTTTAGTGGAAAACCGGTTCTGTTGACTTTCATTGTTGAATTCCAGGGCAACGTGTCTACGATGACGAAGATAATACAGTGTCCTACAGCTATTCCTTCTTCCATTTCATGATGTTTCTTGCTACCCTTTATATCATGATGACCATAACTAACTGGTACAAGTAAGTGATGCTTTTATTCTCTGTAGTTCTTGAAGCTGAAGCAATGCACCAGTCAGACAATTCTTTGGGCCAGTTGAATTGATTTACCATTATACAATTTATAGTTTTAATTATACATTTGTGAATATATTTTTATTGAATTGATGCTATTGCACCATTTCATACTCGAGCACGCAAAGTATCCCGATTGACTTTGGTATTTTAGATTTGGCCCTCCTCTTTGAGTATACATTAAAATAAAAACCCCTAGGCCCTCATCAGTTGGCCGCTACTAATGAAGCTTCCAGTTCGTTTCTCCAAAGATATAACGTGTGTTGATATTGTATAGGAAATGTTATATCTTGAAATTTTATAAATGCAAATAGTAATGTTTAATGCGAAATCTTGTGAGCCCCAAAATATATTTTCTTTTTAATGACCTAGATTCGTAATTTTTGAATTTTCAAATTGATTCAGTCCTTTCGGAAATCTTTTCAACAACCTGTTTGTCATAGTTTCTTTTGCCAGTTTGCTTTGATCAAGTTACACGCGCTCGGCTAAATCTCACTTTTTTTGTTTTAGCTTTTTTTCAAAAATATTTTGTTTCATTTTATTTGTTCTTCCCAAATTTTTAGTTATTTCATTCTGGTATTTCATCATTGCATTTTATATCATAATTTTGCGAGATTATTTCAATTGTCTCGTTCAATCTTTCCAAAGGACTCATTATATTTTGCTTTACAATTTTTATTTGTGTGCATATCTTTCATCTCCCTTGAACATTTCAATTTGAAGGCCAAGTGGCGCCAGTCTGAAGAATCTCAGCAGTTCGGTCGCTGCATTTTGGGTGAAGATCAGTTCGAGTTGGATTTGCTTCCTGCTGTACGCATGGACCTTGCTCGCCCCAGCCTTCTTTCCAGATAGAGATTTCGACTGAGAAAACCTAAACAGTGGTACTTCATGTACAGCGGCACTTCTTGTATAACTTTCTTCTTTTCTTTTAATACAGTTGTCATTAAACTTTGAAGTTTTTTCTATTAGAATCTTATCCACATGGGCTGGAGCTAGTGACAATGACTCTCGTATTGTATTCCATTGTAGAATTTATATAATTTATGCATTGCTTGAACTTTCGTGATTGTGTATTTTATTGATTTGTATTATAATTCTACCCTCGTAAACCAGACGTAATATTTCAATATTATTATATGTAGACACAATCGTTGGTACATTTCTACTCAAGTGCTGGTCCAGTCCAGTGCGCCGTTTAGTTTACCCAATGGATTATAAAGGACGATGTCAAGCCTAATATTGTTACTGTTGTTGTTTTGCGATGTGATAATTTTTTACCTAATTCGCTCTATAAACAAATTTATCAGTGTAGACCAGCAAAGGCAAAGCGCTGGGAATAGACGTGGATGCATATATTCATTTATTTTTGTCAGTGATCTCGTAGATCTGAAATACTAGATCTCGTTAGCGTCAGTTCATCAATCCGAACGCCAATCATTTCAAACAGAAACGCCACTTCTCGTAAGTATTTAAAAATAGTTTGCAGCCTTAATCAATGAATCGTGGTGAAGAACGTAACACGTAAACGCAGGAATAACATTTGCACAGAAGCATTAAGTGTTTATCGAATTTCATAATTTTTGGATGGCTGCTAACAGAGTCTGGATTAAAAGTTTGTACAGGAGCAATAAATCATACGAAAATTTGCAAGATCAAACATACGAAAGATAGCTGAACAAACATTGGACAAGAGTGGTCGAAAGCGTGGGCGTGACTAACGGACCAAACCGGCATAGAATGATGGGAAATTAGGGTGTGATATCTGGTTTGAGAGGGCAAAACGTGTTTTGTAATGTGCGGTTATATTCCCTAATTTGTGCCTTAATGGCACTTTAATGGCACTTGAAATAATAATCTTGTCAGCAGGCCAAAGACATATTTCTTCATCCAAACAGTGTATTTCAAATGGTTTTTTTGTTTTCAAATTGGCTTTGAAAAAAGCAAACATTTTGAGTCATACTAAAGATTTTCGTCTGGCACTTTTCAGAGTATAAATGTTTAGATAGAACAAGTAGCAAGTACCTATATTATCAGAACATAGATCGAAAACTCTACGCCAGGAAATATATTTACCCAGTTGTTGATCGAAATAGGCCGAAAAAGATCAGATCATAAAACAAAGGAAAATCAACCTCATCAAAAAATTAACTCATAGGGACTTGACCAACAAGTTCTTCCTGGAGAACGGCTATCCAGAGGATGTCTTTGTTACTTACATTCAAGGAAAATCGCAAGCTTTTCGGCCTAAGTAGAATTTGCTCCTTAAAATAGTGCAGGAGATTAGTGCAGAAACAAAGCGAGATTGTGCAAATTTCGATACAAGCACTAAAAGTTCATCAAACACTAAGTTTGATACGCTGAGCAACATGTGATATAGACCCAAATCATTTCTTGCCCCCTAAGATAAATTTTTAGAAAGGGGTACTCTGGCCAGACCCCTAATACTACCAGTGGCCATAAACAAAGAACGCCATGTCCTGGAAAGTTGAAATTCACAGTATGAAGGCAGTTTGATACGCTAAACAACACGTGATATGGACCAAAATCATATCTTTCCCCTTGAGTTCTATTTTTAGACAGGCGCACTCTGATTGTTCCAAAGCGAAAAGGGTTTTCAATGGGATGCGGAGAATCTTTGTTTGGGGTTACCTTGCGCACCCCACCCCAAGAAGGTGTATCTTCGTGACAATATATAACAAATATAGAATTTAAATGATTGTCAAGAATGAATTTTTCTTGGTTACTACAGGGGGAGCAAAAATTTCATTAATGTCAACCTCGGTTACAAACCAAAACACTTTCAAGGCCCCTTGTTAAATAAGCGCAACAGAGATCGCGTTGAGCAAAATAAAGAGAGCAACCATAACAAAGCCAAAAAACGATTGAATAGCTTTGGAAGAAAACATTGAATTTTTAAAAGAAACTTTTGAAAAAACCGGCGGCCAAAGAAGGTGGAAATAAAATGTACCTCCTCCCCCGTAGAAACGCCACTGGGTTGCGTTTCTACCAGCCAAAAGAGTTCCTTTATCTGTGATTTCATGTGCCAGTGTGATTTTGGCTACATAGGACGCACAACCCAAATATTGAGAAATAGAATAAAACACTATGTCTCTTCCAACATTAGAAACTAAACCCTTCGCCAAAGAGAACAGCCACCTCCGTTTTGCAGATTAAAGACAACAAGTAAAACATGCTATACCGCAATCTGGTAGCATTTACTGGAAAAGCTAATTTGTGCAAAAAACTAAAATGGCAACATGTTTCGGATTATTGGCAAAGCAAGATCTCTGTTCCATCTAGCAGTTCTGGAATTTATCTACACAAACACGAAAACCCTGCTTTTGTTTAGGCAAAAGGTGTTCGTTTTCACCTTAGGACTCCATTGGTAACATTTTCAATGTGCAAGCAAAACTGATTGGGCAACCTGAAGAGTAATGTGCTTGCATTTCTGACTGGGCTATTTCAATCCACAACTGAGTATTTATACTTCCTAGCATAGAGTTTTCAATCTATGTTTTTTATACTTTCAAGTTTTAGCTTTAAGATCTGTACCACCAAAAGGCTGTTTTCTTGCTTTTGCCAACCCCAATCTACACAGCCCTTCTCTAATCCTGGAACATAGATGCCTGTTCTGTGTCACTTGATGAAAGTGTTGGCCCAGATGGCCTACAGAACATAAGCAGGTACACCTGACTTCAGTGGCAACAAAGATAACACAACTATTGGAAATTTTCACTCTTCTATTATACCCATAAATATTGAAAAGTATTACAACAAAATACTGGACATTTCTTAAACATTCTTAAACAAAATAATAATTCATGGAAATTGGAAAAGTGTCTCCTCTGTAGTACCTTGTTATTTGTTCTTTTATTGATAATTTACAGAACAAACCAAGTTGTAAAAAGTGGTGAAACTTTCCTGTTACAAAAATTTGTTACATTCACCTTCTGTTCAAGTTGTCTAAAAACTGCAAGATGTTTGTTGCATTTTTAGAGATGTACTGGAAAGAATGGCAGCTTACATTAAGAGCCTTCAAGAGGTCATTAATGTTTTAGGAAAGAATTATCGCCATATCAAACAAAAGACAAGAAAAGACCAGTTAGATGGCAGGTCAGACATAAGGGAATATCTAGACAGGCAATTGTACAGGAGTGGATAATGGTGTTACTACCAAACATAAAAAACCAACTAATTAGCTAACTAGCTGGAGTGTGAGTAGGTTCAAGGCAAGTAAACATAAAACTGGATACTATGTTAAGAAATAATGGCATATTTTGGAATGAAAAACAAAACAATTTCTAAGAACATTTTAGCCGTTAATGAAAAAATTGAAAGCTTTTCATAGCTCAATTATTTTAGTTAACTTAATGTATGTTATTCAATGAACCAATTTCTTGTTTAAAGGGCTTTTGCAAGCACAAAGTTTTTCTCTGCAAACTGCAGATACAGGGAAATCAAATGATTTAATGATTCTTAACTTTCATCACCAATACAATCACAATAATTTTCCAAGTTACCCTGCATAATACCCTCTATGGGATATTGCTAATGCCAGATGTCCTCTTTTATTCCCGCTCAGTAGAGTTGAGATAGGCCTGCTCTCTACTACTGGCTCCCTATTTGATTAAATTGTTAGCACATGATCTCTTATCTTTTTCAGCTGTTTTACTTGAATGGATACAGCCAACCAGCAGGTCAATGTAATATTGAACAGCCATGCAAAGTTAGCGCGATTATAAAGGTACCCAACCGAAAAGAAGCAGATAAAATATTTTACTGAATGAATATTTAATGTGTTTACTCAACATTAGTACTTGTTAGATGCATTTTGTGTTGATTCGCGCAACAATCCGGCACTTTTTATAGCAGTATATTGGTCAGGTATCTCCATTAAGGCATTCAAAGCAAACGCAATGCCAGGGTTCTTTGCCTTTTTAGTGACACGGTGATAATCAACAAACTGGAAGTTATCGAATTTCCGTTTGGGCAGCTTCTCGTCGTACTCTGCCATTTGATCCCATGGTCCATCTCCAACACCTACAACAACAATTGACAGAGGATACGTCGATGCCTCGACAATAGCTTCCCTCGTTTCCATGTCTTGCTTGTCAATAACTTGTCCGTCCGCAATAACAAGCAAAATATGATACTCCATATTTTGCCTTGTTATTTCAATAGCTTTTCTAATAATGGGTGCAAAACTTGTCGGACCACTCAATTCTACCCTTTGCACAACCTCGTTGTAGAGTGACAATACTCCTTCAAAGCCTTTACAAGGCATTCCATCTTCGTCCAAAGGAAATACTGATAGGTCCTTAGTTATTTTATCACCAAATCCAAACGCAGGGATTAGATTGTCGCTGTCAAACGAACTGAGTGTTTCGCCCATTGCTGTAATTACTCTTTGATACGGGTTTAAACGCTTGCTATTTTTGTAAAGATGGTGCAACGACTTGTGTTCAAACGTTTTTCTTCCTTGCCATTCGTTGCTTGCCGTAAAGTCTATTCCGATTACCAAGCCACAACTTTGCAGCCCAGCGTTTTTAATTGCCTTGGATATTTCTTCATAGCTATCAAATCGGTCCCCGATCGCCTCGAAATTCAAATTTTTATCTGTAATGGAATTGCCAATTAACTTTGCTAACTCTTTCCATAACGCTGTTTTGTGATATTTTTCTGCTAATTCCATTTGCTTGTTGATTCCTTTGTTTTGGTCCAAAAGCCATTTAATCAGAGGTCGGCAAACAATCAACAAACCAGCCAATATGCAGATTAAGGTGAAAAATACCACTAAAGCTTCCATTTTAACTTATATGAAATAAGCGTAGAAAATAAAATTCGTGGTGAGTCAGAGTCACCATAGCCAAATCAATAATAATGAGCAAAGAATGTGCTACGACTGAGTGACCAAAAGCGTGTCCTGCTGTACATAGTTTTATAAGAAACAAAAGCCTTTTCTTCAACGGTATTAATTATTCAACAGGAAGGCTCGCTTTGTTTAACAAAGGACAAAAGCTATTGAAAGATACATCCAAGAACAAAAATCCACTTCCGGGTGGGAAGTGTCTTCTCATGACCATGGTGTTTTTCAAGTGTGAGTTTATGTGTCAGTGCTTTTTGCAGTGGCAGTCTGGCCCACCGGCCAACCAGCCTCCTTTAAAATCTAGTAAAAAAAAGGGCCCCATCTTTGTCGAAAAATGGTCCTATCTTTGGAGAAAGGGCCCCATTTTAGGAATTTAAGGCAAGGACCGAGATATAGGGGGGGCCGGGGGGGCCGGGGGGGCCGGGGGGCCCAAAAATTTTAGTGCCATAAGTAAAACATTTTTGTATTACTATTTAGTACTTTGAGATCATTTTTTACCCTCTATTCAAGCTTGACCCTATCTAAGCAGGTCCTCCTTTAGTGTACCTGCGTCTCTGACACTTTAAAGGTAATGTGTCCATATAAAAGGACTCAAGCCACCCATCAAAACAGCAGCTTGCGATTGGTTAGTATTCTTGCGATGGAAAACTGCTCACATGAAAAGCTAACTTCGCAGCAGGATAGATAAACAGAACGACCGTAATGGCAGGGGTGATGACATGAAAAATCACATGTTTCTAAAACCCCCGCAGAGTCGCTTGCTTAAGCTGGACACATTACCTTTAAAGTCTGCATAACTTGGCCCTGCATAAACCAAAGTTTTCTTGCTGTTGCTATTTACCGTATTTTGGCTGGAAATCACTTCCCTTTCCAAATCGTTGCCTAAATGGCCACCACGTCAAAGTTAGGGAAAGGAACTTTGAACTATTTTTTCGAAAAGCAGCGAGAAAGAACTGCTTTTCCAGCAAGTTATCAAATAATCAAGATAACAATGAACTGAACGAATATAGTAAGGATCCGGGAGATGGGAATATAATTGCAGTTTCGGCACGCAATAGCGTCTTAGGCCTTGGCCCAGTGAACAAGGAAAGTGAGAAAAATCATACTTGAGTAATTGAGTTGATGGTTACATGCTAGGAAAATCAAAACATAACTATAATCTCTCCTTTCAGGAAATAGGAGAACGAGCGAATCAACCAGGCACAGATTAGGTTTTCCCAAAATGTAACATTGCAGGTCGCCAAAGGTCTTTTCAACACACCCCTCACGCCCCCTTTCATTCCGGCCCTGCTGGCCCCCCCTCCAAACAAAAAGTTGTATCTCGGTCCTTGATTTAAGGCCTTGCATAGTGGCGAAGCCAGCACTGGAGAGTTGGTCATGCACTTGGGCAAAAAAATAAACAGGGTTTTCGGCACCGAGGGGCAAATCACTCTTGAAAATGGCGTACGACATTATTGATCACTAGTGATTAATTTGTGCTTAAATCAATTTTGTGTGTGATTAATTTGATTTTTATTGATTAAAGTGAATAATTTTTGATCAATTTGTGATTTATTTGTGATTATTTAGAAATTAAATCATATATTCAAAAGTGCTCTCAAATAAATTCATGCGCAACAACGTCGTTTGAGCGCATGACGATAAACTAATTCATAAGCTAAATTAAACAACAATATTTCATAAATTAAATGCCAACCTATCATGCCAGTTTAGCAACGAGTTCGAAACATACTTTATGAAATTGAAAAGTAAAAATTAGAAGTTCAGCACAGGGATGAATCCAGAAAAGATTTGCAGTTATCTTTTCTGAACAGCAGCATAAGCAAAATATTGAATCAATGTGATAGGTTTTCTTGTGATAGGTTGCAAATAATATCGCTATTGGAAAATAAAACTGTCATTCCTGAAATTTTAACCGATAGAAAAAATTACAAGTTCCGGAAATATGGAACCTGATTATCAGTGGCGGTCTGGCTACCCTTTGACCCACCGGGGAAAGCAAGCAAAAGGGCGCTTATTTTCGGGGCTTGTAAAACGAGCCGGAAAAATTTTGCCATCTTTCATCCTTAAAATCCATTGCAGTTGAAAACACCCTATTTAGAATGTCGGAACAATTGGCATTGGTATGAAGAAGACTCTCTGTCAAATTGACTGTATTTGAAACGTCTACACGGCTGGTCAAATTTGTAGGTATCAAGTGACGTATTGTCCTCAATTTTATGTTTCAAATGATGTTATCAAATGATAGATTTTGAAAGTTAGACCAAAACTCAAATCCCGTTTTCAGTTAGCGAGACACTCTCTTTCAAGACTTTATAAAGAAAACAGCTTCTCTGGCCTAGGAGACGAGATTATTTTCGATTTAACTCGATCTCAAAATCTTTAAAAATTTGACGAAATATATGACTTTGTTCTCATCAAACGGCAACATAAAAATTTTTATCATTGAGAAATGTAAAGGGGTGCCTCAGCACCTGCTAGCCTAATGACTATGTTGCTCCTGCCTCCACGCTACAGTTACATATCATTTACAAAAGATATGATTCCAGTTCATCAGCGTGTGGAATTATGATAAAATTTTTTGAAAGTTTTGCAGCATATCATTGAGAAATGTAAAGGGGTGCCTCAGCACCTGCTAGCCTAATGACTATGTTGCTCCTGTCTCCACGGTACAGTTATATATCATTTACAAAAGATATGATTCCAGCTCATCAGCGTGCAGAATTATGATCAGGTACTGAACATGTGCTCAAACTGGAGACTTGTCTGAAAGATATCTGATAACATATCTTGGACAAATGTATTTTAAGAGATCTTGCTGTCATCCTTTTTGCGCAAATTGATGATTTTGCAGATTGGTAGGCTCCCTCTCTATGAGAAACTGTGCGTAGAAATGGTAAAAGGATAAATAATTTCTTAAGAAAATGCACAGTTCCTTCCTGGGACAAACATTTGAAGAAAGATTGGAAAACTTTAATAGCTAGTTGTGAATTTGAAACCAGGTTTTTTTCAAAACAGCAGGTTTAACTTTCCATTAAGTTTTCTAGAAGGTTCTTACATGAGGGTATCAATCCTCAGCAAATTCTGTATAAATTTTTTTAATAAATGGTCAAGATTTTTTGACTTCAGTTAGTGATAATTTCATGTGGTACAAAACTCCTCGTTTTAGCGTACAAAAAGCAGGATGCCTATGAGCTGTTAGTTGAGTTGCAAAACATAATAGCTTGCCACTTTACAATTTGTGACAAGTTTTTTGATTGAATTTTGCTGCAACATATCACGAAGCGGCCGCTGCGGTTAGGCCCAATGCAGCTCATATTCTTTACATCTCGGAGACTGAAATGTCCAGAAGACATTCATTTTGTGGGGGGAGAGTGTGAGGACCTCTCCGAAGACCCCCCTTTTAACCATTATTACAAGAACTGACTTACCCCCGGGAAGATGACTTTTTAGTTAGTTAGAGAGAGGGACTGTTCGAATCAAGTTAAGGAGTTGTAAAGAGTATTTGGTTTTTTTATAAAGGTTTGCGTTGGAAAACTATGTCGTGTTTTGTGTGTTTATTGCTTGAAGCTAATTGATTTGCACTCGAACCGGGCCACACTCAGCTAATTTTTTTTTCAAAGTGCGAGCCCTCAGTTATTGGATAACAGGCACTAGGATTAATTTGCATCAGCCATAAGTCAAAAAAACTTATATGGTTAGTCAGAAGTCATTGGTTTCATAAAATTATTAGTCATCAGTCAATTGGCAAACAGTCACAAACTAGTTAGCTAGTGAAAATCCCTACTACCCCCTCAACCGAAATCGAATTAATTCAAGTATTGTGCACTTGCTTGAACAAATGACAAGTTAACCAAAATTACAAGACGTTTAATACTCTGAGGAGTTTCAGACAAAAAAGCTTCTAGTATGTTTAAGAAATTTTCTTTCATCAAAGTCATTCTCAAAGCAAAATATGTTCTTTACCAGGTTTTCAGAAAATCTTGCAGAATTTGCAGATTGAGAAACTTTGCAATCAATCATTGAGAAACATATTAAGATATTGCTCAAATTAAAGGTGAAGCTAAACTTTTTATGCAAACGTACTTTGGACAATTGATGATTGTAATCAATTTTAGTTCTCTGCGAAGATTAGTTGCCTTTTGAAAGTTTTCATGTTTTTGAAAAAAATTACTTGGGTCAGAGGGCGCACCGGGAAATTTCCCAGTGTCCCGGTGGGCCAGTCCGCTTCTGACTGATTATCAAACCTTATTTAGGGGTACAAGAATTTGACATAAATCATTTCCCATAATTGTAACAGTTGCAACTGCAACAGCCGAAACTGTCTGGATCCGCCCCTGTAGCAATGGGTGAAAAATGACTGCTATCAGGCGTGGTTTTCGGTCAGATCAATTTCAGTGGCATTTTGGCAACAAAAACAGCAATGGTTGTTTTAATGACCCCGGCATCATAACGAGGCCTTAATTACTACATGGCAGGGTAATTAGAAAAACTTGTTGTTGAAATAATGTCCTGAAAAGATGGTAAAAAAGTGTCTATAAAATACGTTTAAATAAAGGGGAAAACAATTTCTTAAACTTATTGCATTGTACAATTAAAAAGAACGGTTTATTTAATTCATTAAAAACGTTGCGATTTTATTCTTTAAAAAGTCTTTCGACGACGATACAAATTTGCTATATACTGTAAAATAAAGTATTTTACAGGACAGGTAAAGCTCATAAATCAGACTCCAGTTCGCAATAACGTTTTTAAAAAAAACCAAGATTCTTCAATAGCGATCGTATAATCAGCAGCAACCAACAATTACAAAATGACGACTTCATTCAACGACAACTTCGACTAGACTGGACTTGCACTCAAAGAACATACGCTTTTAACAACATGAGTGACGCACACAAAACCCTAATGACACAAATTAACGGCAAATGGACTAATAACAACTAAAATAGAGGTAGCACGATGACAAACAAAATGACTGACGCAAACATCGAAAGACATTCTCATTAACAATAACGAACCACAAACACGATGCACGACAGACAAAACTAGTTGTATAACAATACACTACAGTTCCTTATGTTTTCTG